ACACGCAGCGAAGAAGTCAAAACAGGCCAAAAATGGTGGAAGTGCGTGTAATCTTTTTGACCCGAACGCTTTTAATATAGCTCAATACTGGAAACCAGTACACTAAAATAAGGCAAATAAGCACTCTCTAGCTTTCTTTTTGTTCTGCAGTTTCAAACAAATCCAAAACTGAATGCCAAGTTGGATAATTTTTGCTTTCAGAATTCTTACGAAGCTTAGCAAAAATTCGTGCCATTTTCATCTGACCTGTTGGAATCGAGGGTATTTCATTTTCTTCATTACCTCGTTACCAATACGTTTAAAAAGTAGCTTCAGAGGAGCCGTATTTTTAAGCTCAGTGTTGTTCGAATTTGGTCGCCAGAACCTAATTGAGTAATGCAACTGTGTATACAGCATTGCAATTGTCGAAGAAAGAAGTTGGTTAGACAAAATCAAAACCTTCCTTTCTATTGAAAAACAGTGATTTCATTAAAACAGCATGATCAATTTAGAAATCCACCATTACTACTCCTCTAAAATACGGTTTCTCTAATTTTCGTAAAAGGACAATTTTATGTCAAGTCTTAAAATAGGCATGTACTCCACCACCTTGAAAGCAGTACAAAGTAACATAGTCACTTAAAAAATATAAATCTATTGTAATATTTAGAATCGCGGTTGCAATACACTCTAAATTTGATATAATGTCATTTAAATGTCAAAAAATTAGTGTGGTGCATATTAGTTTCTGTTCATTTAGATCCTGTCTTTCGCAGTCGTTGCCAGGGGTGTCGCGACCGGGGTAGTATGAGAGGTGTCACACCCTCCCCCCAAAAGTATCTCAATAGAAAATTTCAGGTAAAATCTGCTCGGTGGAAAAAACGCTTTACGTATTTCAGAGACCTTCATGTCATAAAATCAATAAAGGATCAAGCAAAGGTAGTTGCTCCGTTTGTTAAATATGACATTCCTTGATATGAATGAAGGTAAGCAAACTAATTATTTGAAGCATTGAATATTTCTTGTTGCCACTAAATCCAAAAATACAGACCCTCTTTAGGTAAAATTGTGATTTGTGTTCATTTCTGCTAATGTTTCTCGATAGAGGCGTCAACCGCAATTCACTATGAGCTCCAGGTTTTCTTAACATTCAAAAGGCATGCAAAGATAGAAAGAGGTATCTAAATTGGCAACCAGTGCTGCTTGTTACCTGGCTTTAGAAGTAACTGACAACATGGTATTTTTCAAGACCACGGCAAAATTATACCAGTTATTTTATCTGCTGTTCAATTTGTTTGCGAAAATAAAAGAATTTTCGGTAGGATTAGAAGGATTGCTTTAGCAAAATTTACTCAAAAGAGTGCATTTTCCAGGGAACTGGAAGCATCAAAATTCAAAAATTTCCTTCTCCTTCGGCGGCAACCATGGTACCGCCTCAGGTAGTAACTATTTCCTTTGCCTGTCCCTTAATAGAGAGTTAACAAAAAAATTAGGAAAGTTCTTTATTATCGTATAAAAATGAAAGTTGCGAATTATATACAGAGTTAGATTGACAATATGTATTGCAGAGGTTTGTGACATCAACTAAAGAATTTCAGGCAAAAACTTTTTAATCAGGCAAAATTGTAGTTCACACCGCCCCCCCCCCCCCCCCCAATAAGGCTTGCTTCGCTACGGCCCTGGCGTTGCAAAGAATACGATTAGTATACGTGACCTAGAGACCAGTTGATCACCGATCTCCTTAAGATTAAGGCGAATGTTGACATGAGAAAGGTCGGCAACTAGATCAAGGAACTGCAATTCGTTTTAATAGAATGAGACCAGAGGATTTCAGGTGAGAGGATAATCTGTAAAACTGAAAAATGCATAGCTAGTTACTAATGTTGCTTACTCATAAGATATTGAAGCTTACTCAAGCATCCCCAGAGATATGGAAGCTGCTTTGTTGTCAATATGCCTTTAACTACAGCATTTAAAATATAAGAAGAAGGATACAGGAGATCGATGATCTAAATGTGTCCAGTGATCTTGTATAAGTTCAGATGACAATTTCTATATCCTGCAAACGCATAGCTTACTGCTAAAAGTTATATCATTGATAAGTTGTCAAGTTACTGTAAATAGTTGTCACAACTACAAAAGTCTAATTCAGTTTAATGTCTAAGGACCAGACAGCACTACAATCAAATCTACAAGTGCACAACTATGGAAAGGTGCCTTTAAAGAAAGAAGAAGATCTGATCTGGATTTTTCATGCTTTTATTTCATATTTTGCTAATGGTTCACAAATACATAGGCGTACGGGACGGGACTGGGGGGGGGGGGGGTGGAAGGGGGGGGAGGGCTTTAGTCCCCCTAGATTCGGGCAGCTGATTTTTGCGGGCAAAATTCGAGCAGAAACCTTCTCCAATAACGTATAAGAAAAACTATATTTTAAACATGTTTAAAATATCTCTGAGATGAAAAAAATCAAGTGGTCATAATCGTGAGAGCTTTTGGAAGCAATGGAATAATCTATTGGGTAAAAAACACGAAAAGTGACAAGAACAGCAACACCCCTTTAAGTGCTGGAAAAGATTATCGAAGAAGTAAAAGATAACGGCTGTAATGCTGTCATAATTGATGAAACATCTGACTTTCCTCAGCACGAATAAATGTCAGTTTGTGTCATGTTTGCACTGAAAGGTGTCCGAAAGGAAGTTTTTGCTAAATTTTACATAATTTAGCCTTCAGCAATTGTAAAAATTCGGCTTAAAAGCGTATGTAGAAACTTGTTGGCAAATGCTTCTACGCTCGAAATGAGCGGCAAAGCTGAAAGCTTGGCAAAGCGAATGGAGGGCTGTTCTCCGCTGAGCATCTATGTCCACTGCCTTTGCCATTAGTTGAATCATGCAGAAAGTGAGTCAATGGGAAATGGACTTGGTGTTGTTCAAGGTCTTTAAAATTTCATTGAGGTCAACACCAAAAGACATGTAATTTCAAGAGAAAAGTTGTACATGAACCTTCATATAGGTAGACAGGACACTTTTTTTCTTTGCAAGGATAAAGACCCCGACACCCATCTAGAAAGCAAAACTCTGTTCAATTGTTTTTACAATGTAATGGATAAATATTTGGAAGAAATCTATGCGCTATTTAGTGATAGTGACTATCGCATTTTATGTGTTTTTGCGTAACGGAAGCATCTAGGGGCCCTAAGCAAAATACTGCTACGAGACTTCTATTCGCAGACAGCAAGAAGATCACATTAAATGGTGTAAAGCATGTCACACACAATAGAAAAAGATAAAAATGAGAATTATTTTCTCGTTTGCTAGGGATAACCGAGCTTTAGAGCTTCAGTTGAGGAAATTTCAAAGGTTTCAAAAGTTATTTGAACTCAAGCGAAGCTTTAAAGATCAGGACGTAAAACACCTTGGGCCCCTTTATGTTTGGGGCCCTTGCTTATCAAACTAAGGCAATGTTTTCAACCACTGTGTCACAACACACTAGCGTGCCTTGAGGTATTGCCTAGTGCGCCGTGGAAAATTCTCTAATTTCTCTTAATTGGTCTATCAAATTGGAAAAAAATAACAACTATCCGCAAATAAGGTGTCGTGGATAGAAAATGTTGAAAAACGCTGAATCAAGGTGCCCTAAACTGTGTTACGCCACTGGCCCGTGATTAGGGAATGCAAGCGTGAATGCTAACCCTTCGACAGAAATCATCGTAAGGCTCTGCCTCTTCTAAAGAAAGATTATTAAAGAGTTTCTGACCTCCTAAAAATGGAACACAAACTGTTCAATAATCACATGGCAGGTAGGCAAAAAGTGTGTGAAGTGCTGAAAATGATTTGCTGAATTGCTGAAACTATTTGGTCGCTGTTGTGGAAGAGTTTTGCTTATTTTGATGAAAATCTGTAAAGCTTTAAAAATTGTTATTAGTTAGCATTATTTTAATTACATTGCATTTTAATCTTTTCTTGACTAATGCGAAAAGCTCACATGTGTTTAAGTATACTCCTTAAAACTTTGGACGTTATTATTTTGGGAGCAAAAAAATTCAGCCCCCCCCCCTCCTGAACTCACCCCGTCTGCTATGCACAAATCTGATGACAAATAGACGTGCTACAGAGCTGGCTAAAAAGAGCTGATTGGAATGAACATGCAACCTAGAATTCATTTTGAATGATTGAAAACGGTAAAAGATAGAGCTTGTTGGGAGGTACATGAAGGATGCATTCCTCTTTACAAAAACATTGGCTTTGCAGAAACATCTAATTTTTTCATATTCTCCTATTCTCATTGGCATTTGAGGATGAGACTTGCATAGGAGCAGCGCCGCAACATTGCGAAGTATGATGACTCAGACCCAATCGCATAAAAATCAACTAAGATTTGAGACTAAGATTCCTTGTAATTCTACTCTGGAAAAATTTCATTACACTTAAACAAACCAAAAGCTGATAAGAATCAGATAGCAAATATTGTGTTATTATCAAATGGTTTGGCTAATATATATAAACTTGATGTAACCGGTGTTAATAAAAGGCGATCTTCAATCTAGAGTGTTCTCTAGTGTTGGTATATACTAGATTACCAATAATAATCAGGATTTTGAGATACGAGCTGAAATATTCTGATGACAAGATACATATCTACGAGCTAAGATTTGACTTTACTAGCTTGTTGACGAACGAAACTGTTAGGGGTTGTAGATTTTGGCCATACTAGTGGCAAATAATATCGTTATGTAAATACTGATGGAGACTCATGATGGTCTAAATCCTTCCTTTTCTTTTTTTTCTACATCGATTTTCGCCCTCAGCACAAAAAAGGTCTTACGAGCCGATTCACTAGTAACCGTATTAGTAAATGCATCGGAAAATATAGACAATACTGAATACCGTCCTCGCAGGTGCTCTACATTAATGTAAATGAATAGGTCTACAGTTATGCACAGATCTGTTTATTTCATAGAGGGAGTAACCATGGAGTTCTTCAATTCAGACTTCTAAAAAAGCAGGCAATTAAAGCGGATATTGCTGGTCTTCAACGAAAAAATCAATTCGCACAAAATCATCTTATACAAGCATGTGTCTAGACTGCTTCTTCTTCAAATACTGCCATTACAAGTAAGGAGTAATCTTCAGATTATTTTTATCTCGCTCGAGTCTAAATAACAATCATATCTCGGTTAGAGATAACGGGTGCCAGCAGTAAAGCCAGCGGTCTTTATGATTTATCAGTTGTTTCCAGTGTGAGGCTGCAAGGCTCGTTATATCTTGAACCTGCGAAAGAGGCTCTACAAATGTTTCGATCGTTGAATCAACAAGAGGCGTAAGAGTAGTCCTTCTTGTTTCCTTTAAACCATCGAATTGCAAAAATTGTCCTTTACTAGTTGAGATATCAGTGCCATTTTCAGAGTCAGTTTCCTCTCTTGTCTCATCTGCTCTGTTAGGCTCTAAAACAACAACACTTTCTTCACTGTTGCTCAATACAATAGAAGGTCTCTTTATTGTCAGTTCTACCTTCTCCGCTTTACTCATCTTCAGCCCAAGAATTTTGCCCAGACTTTTCCTTCTGGATTGGCCCCACCACTTTTTATCTTGGTTTATATCGATATCAACTATAGACTCTTTTGCTGCACTTTGTAAGCTTGTTAAAGACACAGAGCGATGTTTGTTCAACGCATTTTCTTCCCCTACTTCGCTAAATGGATTAGAAGTAAGGTCTGGACTTGAGTTATTTAACATGATGTCTATAAAATCGTCATTTTGTATAAACCTGTGCAAATTTCTATCAGATCCGCTGATTCTACTGCACGTGATTTCACAAGAAGTCTGTTGTTGCGTTGTCTTGAGGCCACTCTGCAAAGATTCTGTACCGTCCTCATCTGATCCCTAAAGGCAACAAGCATCAGGTTTTCATTAAATGGTTAAGAGGCTTGAATTCCAAGCATTTTAATCTTTAACAGTTACTTTCTAGCATATCCACCATTTCATAACGTTACAGTTTTGCATTCCTTTTCAAATGCTGTACGCAAAAGATCATATAAAATAAAAAATTTTGAAGGCTAAAATTTTAACTTTTGATGAGAATTAAGAGCTTACTATGATTAAGCTCAAATTTGCAAGGCTTGCTATATCCACTTTCAATCATGAATATTTGTCAAGAATATAAGCTAAATATAATTGAATTCAAGTATGAACGTTTCATTCCATAAAACAAATAAAATACTGAAAATGTCGTTTTTAGTGGTCACATTTTAAGAGACATTAACCAGGGGTCCCTCACACACTTAAAGACTCCCTGTCAGTAACAATCAGGCTTGTTTAAACTAATTAATAAATTGTATTAGTTTTTATATTAGTATTAGATATAACACTCAATTGAAAACAAGACTTTTACAAGATGCATGCAATTAGATATTCCATCACCTATATTTTGCAAGATTGTGAAGTAAAAATAGCTAGGATATACACCAATTTATGCCAGTAATACATACAATTTGATCGAGCCAGTCCAACATCTGGATGTTAGCTGATCCAAGAAATTCCCTCTTTTTACATCGGTTCATAGTCCTAACGTCATGCGTGACACTTAATTGCAGTTTCATGTTGGAAAGCCGCTCTTCATTGACACCATCATAAACATACTGCTCGTCAAAGACTGGGTTGATCGATTTGCGGATTCGGGTAGTCTTACAGGAGACTTCACGACTTTCCGAAACAAGCTTGCTATAATGAAGAAACAATATAAAATGCAGAACAACGACAGCTTTCAAGCATTTCCACAGCCATTATACGTATAATTATTTCCCAATTAAAAACAGTTTTCATGTCTTCTCAGTAACTATGCATGTTTTATGTCGATTGAGGTGTTTTCTCATGTTGATATCTCTGGTTAAGATTCCATTATTAAATTTGCTATTAATACACAAAATGATACAAAAATTTTGCCTTGAAAGATTTTGGCCAAAAGTACGACTTAGATTAAAAAAAAGCTGCCTAATCATTGAGAGAAACTGCTCTTATTCAGCGTATACCAATGATTTTGCTGATCTCACATAAAACACAGTTTTGATTAAGAACTTTTCATTTCCAGAAGATCAAGAAACATGCCAGTGGTAACATAGGAAAGCTAGAATACATGCTTACCATTTAATTTGAGGGTCAGGGGCTGTGCCAGCAATCCGAAGTGGAAGCCGTTTTGCTTGGTGAATGTGAACGCTCAAGTAGCCATTTTTGCTTTCTGTTGGAGTCTTTTTGAGTCTGTTTCTTTTATTGTATTCACTTGGCTTTTCCTTAGTGAACATCAGCCCAAGAAGAAGTAAGCTTCTTCCACGTGTAAAGGCTGGCCTCTAAAATTTGAAGAACGTTTTTAGCATAACATAAACAAGAACTTTCAGTGATTTAATATGACATAAAGTTCAAACTGCATTTGATGTTGAACCGTTGCTGAAACAAATAAATTGAAGTATAACTGTGCCAATTTTGGAAAATTGAAAATAAAACAATATATTGTAAAATTCCTTATTTCTGGAGTGCGGCATTGAAGCATTCACCCTCAATTTTACGGTCTAGATTTTTGTCTTTATTTTTATGAGAGTTAATACACTCTCACAGCACAAGACAATGCATTCATAAAGAATAATTGAAGAAAAAAATTTACGTTCTAGACAGTAAATAAGCGAGCTGTTAAATTTAAAATGATGCAAAATCATATTTCACTATAAAAACAAAGTAAAGCAGATGGTGTATCTACCTGTAACCGTATGTTTATATCTAATGGACAATCAATCTTTTTACCAGCTGTTGACTGCAAAAACAACTTTGTAAAGCGACCAGGCTTTTCTGCAGATATAACAATCTTTACAGTAAGAACTTTGGAGCCTCCGAAGTCGGATATCCTCAAAAGATTCATATCTAAAAGATATTGTAAAACGGTTATAAATGAGATCATAATTTGTATCCTATATTTGACTTTGTTTCTAAATAAGACAAAATTTGAAAATTAGATAACTATGATATCTTGTTAAACTACCGTTACAGATTGCGTATAAGCTGCCCTCTTATATGGTCCGCGCTGGAGCATCTGTGTCCAAAGAGCCTATAAGGTCTTTTTAGATCTCCATAAAACAAAAGTAGTCGAGGACACAAAAATAACTTCCCCTGTAATTAAATGCACCAGTTCAACGACAGTAGTATAAGCATTTGTGCTCTTTGTCTTTTACTTTGACACAAGTGCTTAGAAGACTCGAGAAGTTGGTTTCATAAGTATGGTACTAGTAAATATGGGGCCTGAAATTGGTTTGATGACATGGCCATAATAAATTGGCTGTTTTACAGAAAATTCGACATATTTGGAAACTTTGTTTCTGTTTAACTTGTTTCAATTTTTTGGCAACAAGTTTTCCTATACGGCTTAAAGAGTGCCACTGGGAAGGACGACAAGTTATAAAGAACTTCTTTGTCTGGACGATTTTATGATCATGCTGATAAACAATGTTTGAATTTCAGTCACCTTCGTTGATTTCTATTTCCAATCTCTTATCTTCTTCGTTAGTCAGGTCAAGGATGACCTTGCCAGAGCCTGTTTTAACGACTTCCAGTTTTATTTGAATGGCGTCTAAAACCAGGCCAGAGGCTGCGAAGTCAAATTTCCAAGACACTGAGGCAATTTTGAAATTTTCCTGGCGATCAAGGTAGAGCTAAGAAAAATAATGAAACATAAAATGTTAAAACTTAAATAGAGCTTAAAGAAAAGGGAAAGTGTTTTGGGCTTGAGCCATATAAATTGTATGAACAAGTATTTTTCCATGTGACAGCTGACAATCTGCTCTACTAAATAAAGGCGTTTTCCTAAAAAAATTTATTCCATTAAAAAGGGAGTACTTCCAATTCCTTCTTTCACCTCACTCAACGGAGGCTATCTAGAATAAATTAGCAGATATGGTTTTCTATAACAAAGTGGTAATGTTTAAAGCTAAAATTTTTGCCTTCCTTAAGACTGACAATACAACGATCTGACACAAACTTTTTTACATCTTCATGCCTTTCTCGTAATCAAACTAAACAACATCACTTCCTCTGTTCTTTGAGCCACTACCTCAGCCGTATTATTATTTACTGTTATCCATGTTTGATGTCACAGAAATACCATTGAAATGCTTTCCACCTTGCTCCCTTGCCCCGCCTCCTTTACTTGCCCCATCTCGTTACCCCGCCCCACCTTGCTCCTTTGCCCCGCCTCATTCTCTTGCCCAACCTCGTTCCCTGCCCCACCTCAGCCAGAGTTAAGTTAATAAGATCATCAGAACAGAACGATCTAGCAGTCACGGGTAAGTTTCCGTCGAAATGACGTTGCTAACAATAACTGCAATCTGGCCTTAGTAAAGCAGCTGATAAAACTTGGATCACTGTAAGTTCAGTGAAGAGAATTTTGAAGAATCGTTTTCTTGTATCGTCCTTCGCGTACCAACTGCTACCCAAAAATTCTGGCTTGGGTCATAAATCTACTTGATAAAACTTGTTGAAAAGCAAATAAATTGGGTTAACCTCATCGTGAATTTCATCTCTGTACTTTTGTATGCCCTCGCAACCATAAAGAACACTCTCCCAGTTTGTTGTTGTATTTTTGCTTCTTGGATTCAGAGTATCTTCATAGTCCCTGAAGTAGGTGTCATTCACCATGGAGTACCGCAGCCGTAGTCTAAAACCATCAAAAGATAGCCAGTTATTAAATCTTTACATAAATAAAAGCGTCCTTAGACTTCACAAATATTGTGCACAGCTTCAGCCATGACGTCCATCCCCGGCATATACGTTCCTGGCTGGAAGCCGGCAAAGCACAAAATTCAGGACTACATCAATCAGCATTATATAGCTGAAATTATTATTTTGACAGATCATACAATTTATCTTATCTTAAGGAATTGTAAACTATCATAATCTTTGAAGCCATCAACTGGTCAAAATGTTTTGTGAACCAAGAATTATTACCTGCCGCAGATTATCTCATTGAGGCTGGGTAGAAAAATGTATTGTTTCTGTTTCTCTGCCTAAAAACGAAGCAAATACGAATGTAAACAACTTTCTAGAAATGAAGGCTTAGAGTAAGATGTAAAGAAAAGCATTACAGGCTTCAACTGCTTTGGAGTTCGGGAATATTTGAGTGGGGGCTGAGCAGCCACAGGCAGATTTTAATGCAGCAATAAAAAGAGTGTGCTATCCATTTAGGAATTCGCAAATCAAAAATATGGTACAGAGTCCAGAAAAGTTGCAAACCTTTCTCCAGCCAAGAACATCTTATTATAAAACTTTCTTCTTTTATATTGGGTTTAAAATAGGCGTGGTCAGAAAACGTGTTACTCGACTAGTTTTGATCTCCTCTCCTGGCAAGTCTGTTTCTTTAAAACTTTGCTAAAATGTTTAGCTTGTTTCGAATTTCAGATATTTTTAAAGACAGATGTAAAGTAAAATGCTTTTTTCAATTCATAACACAAGCGTGTCATTATTTAGATATACAATTATTTACGTTTGACTTTTATTTTGTTTTTTTTTCAATATTCTATGGTTGTATTTTGAAAACCAAAGACCCTGGAAAATTCTCATTTTTCACAAGTTTTTAAAGTTTTGGCCACCTCCCTCAATTTCTCTTTGTTTCTACGACCTTCCTCCGGCCAGTGGCCGTGGGTCGAGATGTTTTCCCGACTCTGTTTTAGCGTCTGAGATTCTCTACCCTTTTGACGAGTTCCCCTTTGGTTGCTGAGATTGAATGCTATCATTGACATTTTGGAAATGAAAAAACTCTTTTTTAAAGAAATATTTCATTTCGAAAATGGAGCGATCGCGGAAAAGTCGGCGCCTGCAAATCAAATGGCAGTGTGGCCTCTCTTCATAGATTATTTTTAGATACTTCTACTAGCCAGCGGCGTAGCCAGAGTTGGAAGATTGGAGGGGCAAAGAGAAGTCTGCCAGAGGCGATCCGGAAAAAATCTTGCTGACCACACTCTTTTAGAATTTGGGAAAATGCTGCATCTTGTAAAGCGCGTTTGAAGAAGGTATGGGTTTGTTTTTCGTGGTAATGTTTGGCTAATCGAACACCATATGGATGACCCCATTCTTGAACATTCTATTTTCTACACAATTCCTCTAACGTTTATATTCTGGGGGCAAGGAGGCTCTATGTGAAAAAGATAATTTTTTATCGTTGTAAGCAAATATCTTTTACAATCTTTTGATGATACAAAACTCAATAATGGCTTTGAAAAGAGCTAGCATTTGAGTATACTGAAGCTTTTCGTTTGACACTCTACGCTTGGAGATATATAGCTATACCCAGTTGTGGATCGAAATAGGCCAATCAGAAACGCGGGCACATGACTGTTGAGATTGCCCAATCAGTGCCGCTTGCCTATTGCAAATGTTACCAATGGAGTCCTTAGGTGAAGATGAACTCCATCTCTCTACACAAAAGTAATTTTTCATGTTTTTATAGATAGATTCCAAAACTGCTAGATGGAATGATGATCGGGCTTTGCCAAAACATGTCGTCATTATAGTTTTTGCACAAAAATAAACGAACAAACAGGGAGGAGCTTTTTGCTGAATTCGAAATTTTACACGCTCAACTTGCCAAGCATTTGTTAAAAAACCCAGATTGTGAAAAATTCCAGGAATATTATCTTTAACCAGCACATCCTAATCCGTATCAGTAATTGAAGATTTGGATATTAAAGGTTTTCAAATAATGGTTTTCAATCTTCGCTTTTGATCTTTGGTGTAATCTTTTACAGGGATCTAGAACTGAGGAGAAAGCTCCTCCCCAGTAAATCAAACTATAGTTAATATTACAAGAGATCAATTCATAACAGGTGCTTTGCGGAATGTAGATTGGCACAAAATGTCTCGGATTAAATAGATGCCAATGCCATTGACTACTTAACTTCTTACGTGGTTTCCTTTCGTGTTAAACTTTTTGTCAATTAATGCTCCATGGTATTTTATGCCTTTTGATTCCCGTATGCTTTCACTTTTAATATTTACATGAAATGTTTTACGAAGCATTTTCTCCCTGGGTTTAAGAAGCATGAAGTTCGTTTTGTATGTATGAAGATTTAGCTTATTTGCAATTAACCAACCAGCTATTTCAGATAGTTCAGAATGTGATCAGTAAATCTGTTTCTGTATTATTATGGGAGTTTCTGCATTTTTAAGTGATTGTTTTTAAGTGGCACCACCAATTTCTGTTTGTTTGCACTCTCGTCAGTACGTTGGCTAGCAAAATTTCTCAAAGCCTGGCGATCTACCTAGGTATTTCCGTTGCTTCATATTTATGGAATTTATCTAAGGAAAATAATGCAAAGAATTGAAGGTAACAGCGTGTCGGTTTTATCAAGCTCTCCTTCTAAGATCGTCTTAATTTTACAATTCGATGCACTCTCTTAAAAAATATTTGAATAAAATGGCTAGTTATGTCCACGTTTTAAAAATTTCCAAAAACAAGTGGTATTAAAAAAATTCCTTTGAGCAAAAACTCGCTTCACATAAATCAAAGTTATTCGCTCCCAAAAGTTCTGCAATGGAGGTTGAAATCTCAGCAAAAATTGCTTTATTTGTAAATAAACAGCGAAACAACTGTTAAATTACATAGCCGTCCGTGTCCTGTTTTTGTGATGTTCACCCTAGGTGTCATTTGTAACCTTCAGGTGTTACAAACAGATAATACGCATTTGAAGCCCAAATTCCCAACTTTTCTTTGAAATTGAACCGTCGAATTTGATTTGCAGTTTGATCGAACAACGTTACTTTTATTTGCCGTGGAAAGAAGACCGGCTTAGCCATGTTAAATGGGCCTAAATAGACTTATGGCAATTTTAGCTTGTAACACTTTCAAACTAAGTCATATGCTGCTTTCAGAAAAGCTTCTTATTTTTTTATCACCGAGCTGTTGATAGGAGTTGAATGCCAATGCCAGATGAGTTTTTAAATCCCCAGAACGAAACAAGAAAGGTTTTGTAAGAGTTACGTCATACTTGAAGTGTGATTAGAACAGATTTTGCAGGCAATTTATGTGAGCAATGCAGACATCGCGATTTTTCCGCTGCACAAACAAATCGATCAACGGGAACATAACCGTTTTTTACAATCAAAATGGTACTTCGAACAAGCTAGTTACTTGCATCAGGGCTGTTTATGCCTAACCGAAAAGAAATGGGCGATAACAAAACAGAATGAATGGAACCGAAAAAGGAAACGAAAATTCTAGGTATTCTCCAAGAAAGAGTTTGCTATAAAAATTTCAAAAATAAAAAACTTTTGACATTTTGTCACGTTAATCGTGACACGATTATTGCCATTAACCAAGAACTGTTTTAGCTGATATTTATCGCGAGTACAGCGATTAACTGTTCGCCTTGATTGCGGCAATCGTGCAGTGGAAACCAGGCTTCAAGGCATATGACCAATAACGACAGCCCATGAACCTAACGGTGGCGTAGGCGTACACAAGCATCCAAGAGCTACTGCTTGTTAGCTTTCTATCACAAAGAGAATAGATTCGTTTGATTTCAACGAGAACGATGACAGTTTTCTTTGTTTTAAAGCAATTTCTTTTGAAATTAAGACAATTCTCAATAGCCTTCCATTTTTTTCAATAAAATGCAGAGGAATCCCAGGAGTGAATTCAAAATTTTAATGGATATTTTGAAGAAACATGGCAAAAGTGGAAAATTGTTGTGCTTATTTCTACCCATAGGATCACAAACGCTTCATGTACTTTTCAATTGGTTTTCTAGTAATAAATGGCTCGAGTTATGATACATACGGAGTAGAATGAAGTTAAATCGATGGTGATGACTTTTTTCGAACAGCCTATCAACAAGCTTATCGTTATTGACCCGAGAGTTATTAAATTTCAGGTATTTAACTCCCTTTTCATGATCGGCCTCAGTTCGTTTCTTTGACATTGTATCAACATTTAGAAAGTAATTCTACATACCTTCAACCATGATAGTTTTCGTTTTGTTAATCCGTTCATAACTCTTGCACGAGGTTGAAATGCAAGCACACCTACATTTTCCCGAGCATCGAGCAGAAAGCTAATTTATAATTAGCAAATCACACCACAGCAATAATTTTAAATTTTTGTTTCATAATTTCGCTTCATCTGCAAGACGGATTGAATCCTCCTTCACTAAGATAGCACCATGAATTGCATTGTTGTTAGGCCAAGAAGCGACCTTATGGCGTATTCCCACAGAAATTTGAGATTTTGATGCCTGAAAAATCTCATCGTCATTAAACAAAAAAAGATTATCCGTGCTTTCTCTTACAGATCCCAGTTCTACTATTACATAAATCCGCAAATTCCGGGAGCTCATAAACAAATGAATTGATCTTGCGAGACTCCCTATCTGGATGTCATAGGAATCAGGGTCTAAAAAATCCTTTCACCACAAACAAATTGAGTTTTGTTTGAAGCGATTTTATAAATTTATGTTCGGGAGCGGAACAAAAGAGCAGCTACATTCCACAGCAAGCTGCTAGATTTAGATATTCGATGAAACGAGGTCAACAGCGTGAACGAGGTCAACCGTCAGGCAAAAGTGATCAAAGGGTCTAAATTTACAATCGCGAATCATTGATGCAAAAGTGTCGGAGGAGTGGAGAAAGAGAGTCGCTCTTGGTATTTATAAATATACAGATGAAGCGGATAAATTCCAATTGTTAGCAAACTCGCACTAAGTCTCAAGGATTGTGATACACAAATGTAATGCAACGATGAAAGAATGACTTTTCTCAGTTGTAAGAAAACCTGCATGGATTTTTAAGCTATCTCAGTTTGATGGCAAAGTTATAAGGTTGCGAAGAACGCTCAATTGGTGATCTATTGCTTTGTTTCTTCAGCTGCAGATTTGGCTTAGCTTCTTCTACCAACTAATGCCATGAAACTACTGCAAATAAGCCATCTTGCAATGAAGAGCATAATTTCTCTCTCAATTTGCTACGAAATTATATACTGCCTACTGCCATATTCTAAAATATCTTAAAATGTAAAAGCCGAACGGTATCTGATAATTTTGAATTGCCTTTTTAGGAAGTTTTCAATTAAATCACATAGTTATGCCTCCAAATAGCAAAGAAAGCCTAAAAAATCGCCTGAAGGTTGAAACTGATATCCAATTTGAGAGCAATGATTTCAACAATTAGACTAAATTTGTTGAACATGATCAATTTTTGCAACTGAAAAAAAGGTCGCCGTACGGTTGTTTGACTATGATAGATCATGCATGTGGGCAACAGGTTGCAACCGGAGAGGCTTTTAAACTTTCTATTGTAGCAAGAATAAATGTTATTGGGCATGCGTCTTATGGTTTGAAAACTTCACCTGAGTTTTGTAAATAAGAAGTCAATGTGCTGCTTATCCAGCTGCCTTTAAGAACAACACAATTTGTGAAAATTGAGAGCAGCAGTCAGAAGCTCACAACAATCGAAAGCACTGTTTAGATTCTTGATTCAATGACTTACTCGCTTTTGTCTTTACGAATAGGACTTTTCAGAAGGTACAGGATAAATTTGCAAAGTTATATAGTCTTTTTGTTAAAAATAACTCACCATACCATCATGAACTGACCTAAACATAAGTAAAAAAGAAGTGGAAGTGAAAAAGCTGTTAACATCGACAAAGCTAACTTCCTTAAATTATCCAATTCTCACTCATTGAGAGAAAATCTGACCTGTAGTCAATCAGAGGCTTGTTATGACAGCCATTTACTCATTGCATTATAACGAAGATATCGGAACCGTCTTTTTGCAGCTAGATGCTATAAATATTTTAATGTGCCTAATTTGTTGCTCTGACATGTTTTGAGCACATTAGAACACCTAAAGCTAATTGCCTTTATGCTTGTTTCTTTTCCCTTCTGCTTAGAGGGTTTTTTTATTTAAAAGGTATATAAGTTTTGAAAAGTATGGCTGCTCTGATTTGCAAGAATTTGAGTGATTTTGAATGCTGCAGAATTCAACTGAAGAGGGCAAATTGTATTCTTTGGAAGTGCAATCGAAACTGTCTTTTCAGTAGAGTATTATATTATATATCTAAGATTATAAATCATCTAAGAGGCATAATATTAAATTCAACTAGGGTGATCCCAGTTTTATCAATTGTAGATAGTGCTGCACAAAAATTTCATTTGCATTTCGCAAGAACATCACAACAGCATTTCAAAATTTAGAAGTCAAAAAAGTAGTCACATAAAAATGGAAGATAAAGAGATTTCTCGTGAAGAAAATTTATCAAAGATTTTGTGCAACGCTTAACTGTGCGCTATCTGAATAAACTTTTAATGAAACATCGCTGAAAAATAACGCTCATACTCTACGGTAGCTAAAATGTTAGGAAAAATCGAAGGAAATTGTTTGTATCCTGGCTGCTGTATCTTGACTTATCAATAAAGCAAAAACAACCTCTTGTAAGAAAACAACAACGACTCTTGATGAAGTCGTTTGCCAGAATTTATCTGAAATTAGATAAGGCGATTTACTGAAGAAAACTCGTAACAAACCTTTAAGGCGTTCGAATAACCATTGTCGATTGGCATAACTGTGTTTCATTTGCAGCATCAAAAGTATTCTGCCTGATTCTGTCTGAGAATAAGCTGGAGAGAAAAAGTCTTGGACGTAGATAAACAACTCAAGCGATATACTCGAATTAGCATTATCTACAATGGCAACAACAGTACTGAAACGTTTTTAAGGGAAATCTAAGAGGCAAAGCGATTGTGATCTCATTTATCGTATCTGTTGTACTGCGCTTTGCAAAAGACGTAATTTGCAGGTGTGTGCTTCGCTCCAACCGACATCAACTTGTGAGCACCTGCTAAACACAACGCCAACGTTGGAAGAAACCATATCCAAGTAAACATTACGTCACAACTCATTAGAGTCAACACTTCTTCATAAAGAGAATAATCCGCTCTTTGCAAGAGGAAGTTATGTAAAAGGCCAAAGAGGAAGTGGGTTTGATGCAACTTGCATTGAACATGTTTGTTTCGTTATCAGCATGTTTAAGTTTTCAAGAGATGCAATTTTGATTTTAAATAACTGGGGTTTGTATGACGAAGATCAACACTGCCTCAACATTAGTCTCCTAGAGCATTAGTCTTCTATCACTTGAAACAGTAACAGTGATTATGCCAGGAATTGGTACATTGGGGCATGAGTTGCACGTGTGTCCATGTTGTCAGCAGATTGCAATACAGAAGTAATTTTGCAATGATTAAGCTCAACCTTTAACCCATGGTATTGCACATTACTCATCAAACAGAAAACCTCTGTTAGAGATAGACAGCAACTAGGGTTAATGAATTATTTGAAAATTTTGAAAAAAGTTGCTAGCCTCGTTTCTATGGTTATCTCGATATCAGTAACAAATTGAAATTTTTTAAGAAAACCAGCTGTACATTTATTTATATCAACTCTGAAACCGATTCCGCATGAATCTGTGTTTGAAGTTCTTCTAACTTTTAACAGATTCAAACGCTCTATTTCTAGATTGTCCTATTAATTTGAAGCTTGTGAAAAACAATAGGACTGCTAATGATTGTTTTTTGCTTACTTGACTAATTTAAGAAATTTATATTAAATTCACTTTTTTGTTCTAAAGCAAGATGTTGAAGCTCTCATCATGGTGGAAAGCTTTGTCAATATTTAAAAGCGTGGAAATAGAATTCTTTCCAAAACTGGCGGCAGCATATTCAGTCTGCTTGTCAGAAGTAATTGAACTTTGTAAACAAAAATCAATAAGCAATGAGATTGCTGAAATAAATTTCGTCCACATATAAGAATCTTTAAAGAGCATATACATGATTGTATAACTAACTGTTACTTAGGGTGGATGTAGAAAACAAACTTTTGCCAAATAACCTGTTTTTGTCCTCATTTAACAATAAAGATTCGTTTAGGATTCATTTAACGGGAAGCTTTAAAATATTTTCTAGGCAAAAGGTATGTTGCAGTGATAAAAACATGAATCTGTGAAGCAACTGTGCAGCCGGAGCTCTTTGGACAGAGGATCCTTTGATAAAAAACACTTTTCCTTGACAAAGGATCTTCCCTTACAATGGACGTTTTACAGCGAAGGAAGGCAAAGGTGTGTATGGTTTCAACAGATGCACTGGTATTCGAAAATGTTGGTAGTAATATAGGTGAAAAAGGTGTAACACATTGATAAATTTATGGCTTTGCATCTTTAATTGACTGGTGTAGTGGGTCTAATGGAGGCTTAGCATTCAACTAAGATGTTATAAGTATGCAATTTACTTGAGTTAAGATCAGACTTAGGGCGGTATTCTCGAAAATAAATCTGATGAAAGTCAGTTCTTGTAAACATGGACTAAAAATCAAAAACTCAAGCAATTGAGCTCGAAACAACAACAAATATGAGAAATGACCATTAGTTCGTTATCACAAAATGCAGAAATGGGATGTAAGGAGTAGCTGCTCACATGATGGCTTATTAAATTGTACAGCAGGTACGCAAAAACAGATAAAGAATTTGAATAAAGGGATTAGTCCAAAGATAATATCACCGAGATGAAATAATTTGAAAGAAAGAACGACCTATCAAAATGACTAATATTTTTAACATTTGAGGACTATGTTAATCTTACTTTCAAAAATGGCAGCTCATAAAAATGCGAAGGTTTTAAGAACTTACAAGAATTTATATCTATGGTGTTTTCATCCCTGTTGCTTGTTTTTCGCGCTTATGTTGCCTCAAATTTCAACGAGCGAAAAATGATTGCGATCTTGAACGCACCTTGCGATTAAGGATTCTGATTTGCAAAGGAATAGAAATCAATAATTAATGTTGATAACACCCTTCCAAACTTAATAATCGCTCTCCTTACGCATCGCTGTTGGTAAATTTTTAACCGTTCGTTTTCGAGAGGCAAAAATGGTAAAAATCTAAACTGTAGAATGACTAGTGATGGCAAGTCACGTATTATATCGAGCAAAGTTACAAAATAAATGTTGCCGGGTGTATGAAGAAATATAATAAGCAGATGAAGTGCTTTAATACCTGAAACTTATATTTCTCACAGCCATGGATTTTATCAGGCCCATCAGTATAAAATTATGTAGAAAAAGAAAGCAAATGGGGACTGTATAAATAAAACCGTATCAATATATTACGTATGGATATATTATTTATACGTATTAGTAAAATGCTAAGACACACACAAAATAAAGAAAACTAAGAAGAATTCAACACGTAAAGAAAAGTAATTCGAATCGCCCAAAAGCAAAATAAGATGCCTAAATGACGACAAAGCGAACACTACAGTAGTGGTACCCACCTTTGGAATGAGCTTGCAGCAAACCAAAGTTAGAAAGAATCTCGACTTTGTTTGGCCTGTATACTATACCAAATAGAGTTTCATACAAGCATACTTCTACAACCGTAGAATCTATCCAGACACTCGCGAGCAGGTCCTGCTATGCGATATCAAATCTGTGTATTGTAAAGATTTTAACAGATTAACTATTAAGCATAGAAAGTAGCATTAGCTGACTGTCAGATTACCAAAGCTCTTTCATTTGGCCGTTCATGAAAGCATCCTAGTCAATTGGTTCCTTGCTAATATTCCTCTTAACAAGGGCAGTGCTTTAAGAAAGACCGTAGCCAGTCAAGAAATCTATATTTTGTTTTTGCTTCAGAGCTAAATGGAACAGTAATCAGATAGCACCGTGTTGAAGTGACTATTAACGCCGTGCTTTAAGGTGGTTGTATAAAAGCAAAAAGAATTCATCCACAGACTTCTGGTATCGCGTGTAAGAAAACTGTAATGGAATTGGACCAACAGCAAAAAGATTTAACAGTTTGTCATGCCATGGCAGGCTAAAAATAGGGTAGCACTGGATATAACCCAGTAATAAGAAAAGCTTCGTTCCATCTTTTATTTACTTCCGTTCCAATATTTAGTCCTAACTTTTGACAGGTGTTTTTTCTTAAAATTATCATGGTTGAAAAAGTTGTTAAGAATAAATCCTGTTGAGTTTTGAGGAAAAGGAATAAAGGAAGCATTTTAATACTTCAAACAGGGCTTTTATTTTTGAAGGCATTTCTGAGATCACAAGCAATGTTTTCAATTATCGTTTTGAAGAGGATTTTGAAGAGGATTCTCCTTGGCGAAAATCGATTTGCTTTCTTTATGAAAGACTTTCTAAGAACAAACTAGTATAAGTTTGAAATTGGAATTTTTTGTAATTATTGGCTCCTAAAAACAACATTATATTTCAATAAATGTTTGTATTTCATTTAAAAGCTGAAATACAACCTAATTATGGAAAGTGAAAGGCCAAGAATTGATAAACAGCTTCATTTTCGAAACATCATCAAAGAATGGGTAAAATCTCTTATTCAAGGTGAGTCTAAATTGGTCATTGAAGGTCGAAAAACAGGCTGGTAGACAGCGTGGTTTCATTTATTCCGTAGAATAAAGGAAGTCTTTGGACAACCACAAGACATACCTTTTCTTAAATGTATTGTTATGGAAATTAGTAATTTTCAAAATGTACAAGGAAACCAACTAGAGGAGATTTTCCTTTTAGTTTTTGGATCAATATCTTGACCTAGTTGATGGTGATTTTGTTTGCTTGGATTTTTTGGCTAGATGAAAACTGTTTCGTTCCTATTAGCCATCATAACTACAGCCGCATTTAGATAAAAAAATTCATCCATTCCCTTAATCACCTTTCCATATGAAATAGAACCTTTTATTTCAGCTGGTACCGCCTTTGCAGGTATCTTCGAAAGAGCATCCCCTAAAGCCGAGGAAAATTTGATGAAGGCTCTCCTTCAAATGAGCACTCCAAATACACTGATGGTTTTCTGAGAAAGGAGGATCCTTGTGTTGCTTGTTATATCTTAATAATCTTAAGAACAACATAGGGTTTATTTTTTTGTTTTTGGCGTTTACCGTTGAAAACTATTGCTGAATGGTGATCAAGAAATGCATATTTACAGATATGTTCGGTTACATGCGAGTTGAATGAGCACAGAGCAAACAAAATTATTTGAACTAAACCTTTTACTCTTTATAGCTTTATATGTGTGTAATCTAAAAATTCCATGAATCAGCGCCGCCACGATTGAGAACCCTTCAAAATGATCAAGCAAGCAAGGTATATGTCGACGCTATATGAATTCAAAGTTGTGGGAACATATTCGTAGTCTCTTTTGCAGATCATTTGAAACGAGTTATTGCGAGGCTAGACGTTGATAAACAACAGATGACATTAAATGGTGTAAGAAGGTTAGCTGGTCTATCCCTGGGATAACTCTGTTGGTAAAGATAACTTTAGAAAGCAATAATCCCATTGAACAGCGAGATTTTCAGGTTATTAGTCAGGCAACATGCATGTCACTTGACTTCATTCGGTCATGGCTATTTAGGGCCTGTTTATATGAGGCGGGCCAGCCCGCCTGACCGAGCTGGCTCGCCTAAGCGGGATTAATTTTAATTGCGTTTATATGAGGCAGAGTTCATCTCGGCAAAGCGGGTTGGCCTCGTATTGATTCAACTGATAGACTCAAGTTGATATCAATTTTTGGCGCGCTTGTTTTGTTTTTGATGAAAGAAGTTTTCAAGCACTATCCAAGCACCACACAAAATATCGAGAAACAAAACGATTATTGTTCTTTGGATTTTAAAGTTAACTGGATTACTTTCGATGATTTCCCAAAACTGGATGATGATTTTTTCCCAGTTACATGGCTTGATGCTGTTGTGGATTGCCTTGCAACGACACATACAAGAGTTGATGATTGCAGTGGAGCAACGAAAAAGAAACCGTTTCCTACAGAAGGCAAAAAATGCAAGGATGAGGAGGTTAAGGAGAAAGCACAGATATGTTTGGTTTAACCCTGGTCGAACTGAAGAATGGTGGATCAAAATGGTGAATGGAGAGGGAAGTGATGATGCTTGGCATAAAAATGTTTGCCTATCAAGGAATCAGTTTAACTGCGTTGTTCGGGAATTGGCCCCTTCCATTTCTCCAGATCCAAAGTCGCCTAATTATAGCGCTTTATCTGCTGAGAAAAAGGTAGCAGTAACACTGTATTATCTTGAAGATACAGGCTCCTTATGTATGACTGCAAACTCTTTTGCTTTGTCAACAACATCATCTGTAATCTCAGAAGTTTGCAGTGCCATTTGCAATGTGCTTGGGAATTTGCAATGTGATTGAGAAGATATATATTCATCTTCCAAAGAGTCCTTGTGGGATGAGGGACAAAGTTGCTGAATTCGAAACAAAATTTGGAATGCTTCAGGCCTTTGGATGTATTGATGGAACACATGTCCCTATAATTCGTCCTTCTGAAAGCTCACAATAATTCTATTCTTACAAGGGTACTTTTCATTAAATGTTCAGGCAGTGTGTGACTACCGTGGTTACTTCATGGATGTTGATTGCCGCTGGCCTGGCAGTGTTCATGATGCATGGTTTTTTCAAATTCTGCTGTAAACAAAATATTAAGGGATGAAAAGAATTTTCAAAGACATCATTCCATATTTCCTGAGTGTGAAAAGGTCCCAAATTACCTGATTGGAGATCCAGCCTATCCGCTTCTGCCTTATTGCATGAAAGAATTTGAAAATTGTGACAGCAATGAGAAAGTTGTTTTCAACAATCTTTTGCGTGCAGCCAGAAACCCAATTGAATGCGCATTTGGTCATTTTCAAGGCACGGTGGGTAGTTTTGACAAAGACCATTGATCTGAAGTTGAATTCCGTTCCATGTCTTATTTATGCCTGCTTCATCTTGCAAAACATTTGTGAGGAAAATAAATCATATGTAGATGAAGACTTGATCAAGACACAGAGAGAAATTGGAAAGAAAAGAGAAGAGGATGCTAAACATCTACCAGACCCAGTTTTTCTTTTGATAGCAGTGAAGGAGCAGTTGTGCGTGATGTTTTGACAAAATATGTTCGATTGAATCTACCCGATACTCTGATTTCTTAAACAATGAGTTTGTGACAATTTGGCCATGTAGTTTCCTGGTCTGCAACATATCAGATACTTTGCTACAATGTCCATTTTCCTAGAAAAAGTACTCCTGTTTGAAGAATAATCAAAATATTTTTACAAGTTTCATTTACAAAATCCTTTTTGCCAGTAAACCAAGTAGTAATTTTTCAAAAATATAGTTGATAGTGTAATTGATTTCAAAATTTAAGGAGCTCTCTAATCTTGTACTGATGATTACCAGATCAATATCTTTGATTACAGCAAAACCCACATAAAACCTCCTTTTTGAATTTAGCCAGAAAATAAAATTTTAGACTAGAGGTTCTTGAAAGTTGTACTTTTGATGCGAGATTTTACTGTATTTTGAGCTTTAAATTTTGTCATAACTCACTGAAAGAAATGCACACAATCATTGGAGCTTTCAAGAATCTAAGATTGACTATTTTGCAGTAATTATTGAGATCTGAGTAAACAATAACATCCTTTGCCAGGAATCACTATAATCTATTTTGTTGCCTAGGGCGTTTCTATTGGAAAAGGGGGAGATTCCACTTCTGGGGGGTTTCTGAAGAAGGGATAAATTGCATAAAACATGGAATTTGTAGAAAAAACAGTTTTCTGTGCAGTGTTCTCTAAATTTCAGACTTCTCCTGCTGAGGAAGTAGAAGCGAACATTGACTGATAAACAGAAAGTTGAAACTTGTGTTTGCTTTTATCCAAAACGATGCAGCTTGGTAAAAAATTGATTTCAGAGTAAAAAAGTCTTACTTTGTCGCTAACCACAAATCAATGAAAAAAATTTCAAGATCATTTTCGAACTTTGCTTAATAGAAAACTAACGAAAAAATCCGTCAGTAGATATTAAATGGGTTCTGAAATTGATTTTAAATTCAATCATTATTGTTATTTCTAGAAATGTTATTTCTTCATTATTTCATATTACAAGATTTCAATAAATAGTACACAAAAAGCAAGTTATACCTAGTTCTATGCTGCTTTTACTGTACATGGGATGAGAAAAAGGGAATAAAGCCAAAAATACGACATCATTTCGAACTAAAGCGACTTAATTGCATACCACTCATCTCCTAAACCTTTTAAACAAAGGATGTCTACTTTTCTCAGTCCCCGAGCTGCTAGCTTTATATTCCAAGTACATCATGTCATCACCACCAGACATAGAAGCCATGGAGCCTGATTTCCGCGCAACAAAACTCTATATTATAAAGTAAAAAATCTGAAAAATATATACAAAATTGCAAAATTATATCTAAATCGATAATACTGTCAAAGACAGTAACATCGTCAATTATTCTTTGGTAACTTGTGACGCGATTCCACAAAACGTACAACGTATCTTGATATTTGACCAACGTTTAGGCCAAGAAAGCCATGAGTAAAAACCAGTATGAAAACCTGCAGAGGAACAGCTAAGTGCACGGAACTTAGAACTAAGATAAGTAATAGAGAATTTCTGTTGGTGTACTAATAAAACACGTCAGGTTTGTCTAAATAAAAAATGTATTGAGATAAGTGGACATACTCTCTTAACACTGGAGTACGAAGAGGAATCACCAGGAACATTCTCCTCATCAGCGTCTGCATCGGTTGCCGCTAAAACCTTAAAATAAAACATTGCTTAATAAATCTAATGAAATTTGTTTGCCATTAAAATCTTATAAGATGACTTGCAAGATAGTGAATAATAAGCAAATATAGAAAGTCACTCAAAGCAGTTTGAAGATCAAAGCAAACAAAGATCAAACAAATCAATCAGCGTATCTTTTCATCTGCTTTTAAGCAGGGATGTTTAAATTTCCACCTTTTAGAAGGAACTCCCCAGTTGGTGGTAAACAATTGCTTCCTAAGCTACCTTTTAAGCGACTTTCAAAATGTTGCCGCAGCAAGTTGCAAGAAATGGCCATTTTGTTGTCACTTGCCAAATTGTTATCCCAGCTATGCATGGTAGCAAGCATCGGACAATTGAAATTTAAAACAACGGAAAAACAACTTACTATGAAAAAGATTTTAAACAATAATAGAAATAATCATATCTTTATTTCAAGTTGGTACCAGTTCTAGCTCTTTGCTTTAGTTAATTGAACTAATTAACGCCAAATATTTACAAAGAAAAATAAATCTACCATAAAAATTATGCGATTTACAATATAAACATTATCTACAAATTTAGCAATTGCAATTATCTTCTCTTATTCTTGATGTTTTTTAATATATGATTCTAGATATTTTCCACTGATAATAAAAAATAACATCGGCGACAGAAAGTGTTTAGTTCTCTTAAAGAACACATTAGCAAAGAGAATGAAAAAGGCTGCTTACTTTTTGCAATAATTCCTGCTGCTCTTTTCTAGTTGAATAAGCAAGGTTCTCCTGTTGACAGAAACTTGAGGATGAACAAAATGGATGCTATCAAAGATGAGACAAAACCTTCTTTAAATTTGTTTCGCTTTAGCTTACTCTAAAGATATAAATACTAGGATTGTGGGCAATTGGTTTTCCTCGACAGGATCAAGAACACTTAATCAAGAAATTATTACAAATGCCAAACAATTGAGAATGCAAATATTACTAAACCTCATCCATTCCTGCTAGTCGTGTTATAACCTGAAAAAAGATAAAGAAAGTATTAACACGCATAGTTATCGTACATGCTCCCTTCCCCCAAAAATCCCCCCCCCCAAAAAAAGCACAAAGGGAAGAATTAGGTTCTACGTAGTTCAGCTGTTGCATTGTAACGATGCTTCTTATCTAAATGGATCAAATTGTACCTTATAACTGTAACCTTGATTTATGAGAAATCTTTGCCTCTTGTTGGAGAAAAACATCTCCGTGGTGTCCTAAAGAAAGAAGACCATAAATATAGTCAGGCAGCAAACCATTCCGCAACACAGTTATTCAGCAAGCAGATGCTACAAAACTAAAGACTATGTAACAAGCATAAAAGAGTGTTAGGAAGGGGAGGTAAGATACGCCAGTATTTTATCGATAAAATTTTAGGGTCCGGCGTTGTAAAGGTACAAATTGTATCATAAGGTTTGGAGCAAACTTAAAATGCATCGAAAAAACGTCGCAAATTGACAATCAACTTAATAAATTTGTCATAATAACTAAAAGGAGATGACTGGAAAACAGTGCAGGAATTACATCATGCGCTATATACTATAATTCATCGTCATGTGCTTTGTTGTCATGACGATACATTAAATGACTTCGCAATCAGATTGAAATTACTGCAACCCACATCACTCAAATCCATCGATAATTCGTGGTTTAGCGGTGGGTAACGGAAAAGAGAACGCGAACTAGGAAAGCTAAGACAGCTGCTACTCATCCCGCCTCCTTATTCAACGAGTTGATATGAAAACACCTTTGCTTCGCTGTTCTGAACTGAAGCTTGTAACAGAAGTTCTACTTCAAGCACACAAATGCCACATTGACGTCACAAAAATCTCAGCCTAATTTTTGCCAAATGAATCACAGAAACAGATCCACAGGACTCGAGAAAAACAGATCGGAAAACAGACCGTTGCATAATGTTTCATTCAGCACATGTGTAGTGAAAGTCAGCTCTACACACTTAATAAAAGCTTTAATATTTTGGTTGGCTACCCAATTACGTCACAATTACTTTCAAATCAATATCCAGCTTGGTAAGATGATTTAATTAACAAATGTATTTAGATATGTGGCAAGACTCGAGGATTGCACGCAATCAATTATTCATCAAGGAACTTGCAATGCTCAGTCATCACAAGTTCCTTCATGTAAAAGTCCTCATTCTAATAAAGATTGCAGGTTGGTTATTCCCTTTTCACTATGGCGCTATTCGAAACAGTTCAATTTGTTGTTCAATTTACATACATTGGAAACCAAGGAGTAAAAAAAGGCATTGTATTCTTCTGCAGCCATATCTAAGAAGGAAATAATGAAAAATCATAAGGAAATAATAACATATGGAAAGATGCAAAATATGGATATGAAAACAAAGCATTGAGCGACAAATTAGCTAATTGAAACCAAAATAAAAAATGGTATACATCCTACTTCTAGCAATAAATAAACTTCAAGCTGGTTTATGTATGCTGCTTAAAGAGAAAGAAAGGGGCTGAAAAAGCAAGGCAGGGGCTTAAAGTGCAAGGAAGGGGCTTAAAGTGCAAGGAAGGGGCTTAAAGAGCGAGGAAGGGGCTTAAAGAGCAAGGAAGGGGCTTAAAGAGCGAGGAAGGGGCTTAAAGAGCAAGGAAGGGACTTAAAGAGCGAGGAAGGGGCTCAAAGAGCAAATCAGGGGCTTAAAGTGCAAGGAAGGGGCTTAAAGAGCGAGGAAGGGGCTTAAAGAGCAAGGAAGGGGCTCAAAGAGCAAGGAAGGGGCTCAAAGAGCGAGGAAGGGGCTCAAAGAGCGAGGAAAGGGCTTAAAGAGCAAGGAAAGGGATTAAAGAGCGAGGAAAGGGCTTAAAGAGCGAGGAAAGGGATTAAAGAGCGAGAAAGGGGCTCAAAGAGCGAGGAAAGGGCTTAAAGAGCGAGGAAGGGGCGCAAAGAGCGAGGAAAGGGCTTAAAGAGCGAGGAAGGGGCTCAAAGAGCGAGGAAAGGGCCTAAAGAGCGAGGAAGGGGCTCAAAGAGCGAGGAAAGGGCTTAAAGAGCGAGGAAGGGGCTCAAAGAGCGAGGAAAGGGCTTCAAGTGCAAGGAAGGGGCTCAAAGAGCGAGGAAAGGGCTTAAAGAGCGAGGAAGGGGCTCAAAGAGCGAGGAAAGGGCTTAAAGAGCGAGGGAAGGGATTAAAGAGCGAGAAAGAGGCTCAAAGAGCGAGGAAGGGGCTCAAAGAGCGAGGAAGGGGCTCAAAGAGCGAGGAAAGGGCTTAAAGAGCGAGAAAGAGGCTCAAAGTGCAAGGCAGGGGCTTAAAGAGCGAGGAAGGGGCTTAAAGAGCAAGGAAGGGGCTTAAAGAGCGAGGGAAGGGATTAAAGAGCGAGAAAGAGGTTCAAAGAGCGAGGAAGGGGCTTAAAGAGCAAGGAAGGGGCTTCTAATGCAAAGAAGGGGCTTTGAATGCAAGGAAGGGCCTTGTTAGTAATTGAAGTGAACGGCAGGGAAACTAGAGTGAAAATTAAGCGAATGTCAAAGACTCATGAAAGGTCAGTAATTCCCCTCAACAATCAAAGGATTTTGTACAAAAACAGAAATTTGCATAATGCATAATTTGCATAATTTAAACAAAGATTGCATAAATGTTGCTGAGAATTCATAGAGCATTGTTACCTTTTTTGGCCCTTAGGATTCTCCCAAGACGCTGTGCCTCCTATGGGTAACAAGTGAAGAGTCAAATATGAAGATTGAATTCTAATAGAAGACAGTCCACTTAGAACGACACAATGAGAGGCTGGTTGAAAAGGCAGTGCCGCTGCAAATAACAAAAAAGACATTTCAAAATGGTGCTATATGCATATGCTGTATATCATATAAATTACTGTGCATTTAATTGCTTGAAATTGCAACAGAGACGATACTTGCCTGTCTTCGTGAGCCACCGTGAGACGAAATCTACAAAGAAATAGTTTTTGCAAACAAATCACCTGTTTTAATGAACACAAATAAGTCAATCCTCAACTCTCCTTTCTTAAAGTTAAACCATCAAAATGAAATCAAATAATTCTTCAGACTGCAATATTTCAGGGAGAATTGGCTGTAATCAATCTGATTCCCGTAGGTAGACACAGAATTTCACCCACCAAAAGGAGAGGTTACTCTCTAAATTTCGCTTCAAATGAAAAAAGATAATGTGGAATTTAACGTCTTGATTTGTGTTATATTTTTGATTTTCTAATTTTTCTATAACCATTAAAATTACGATGCAAAAAGAAGAGTAATTGCTCACAGTGGCTCTCAAATGGTATTTTGTTTAAAAGACGTTTAACTCTTATTCTCAGCTTAATGCCAAAACAAGATCAGCAATTTCTTTAAAGGACAAATAGATGTTTTGGTAGTTTATTGCCAAAAATGGTCCTTATTATTCTCCAGTAAGATTCAAATGAAATAGCATTCTTCGCAAATTCAGACGTTTCCCTTTGAAATCAATACCTAAGACGTTTCCCTTTGAGTATACTAGACAAAGACCAAAATTGGTTGAATATAAAAAGGTATTCTCCACAAGATTACACAGATCTGTTTTTGCTGTCAGCATCATTCTTTCTTATGCTGTCGTCAATACAAACAAATATTTTGAATTGGCTTGCAACGCGTTACCTGAATTAAAACGTTTGCTTCTGGCATATCAAATGATGTATCACCGACCTGTAATTTGAATAATTTGAAAAGTACATTGACCATGAGCAATTCAACCATTGAGCGATTCAAATAAACATTGAATGGCAGTGCAAAACTGTTTGACGCTCAAATCAACAAGATATGCGTATGTTAAGCATTAAACAGCATATTCCAGCTAAAACCCGGATCTCAACAACACGATAAGTATTGCAATTTGCTGGGTAGTAAGATATTTAAGAGGTTGCTAAGGCAAATTATTGGTGGCCCGGGAGATATTCCCAATAAACTTTCTATAGCATGGATCTTTCCAAAATTGAAATATATGTGCAAATATTCTTTGCTCATTAACTGACCAATAACTAGGAATGAGGGAGGTATTGAATCAATTCTAGCTGCCGGCAAACCGAAATCTGATTGAAGAAGTTTATCGGTTGCAAATGATGAGCATCCCTCCTGTCAACCTGAATAACTGCTGTTTATTTAAAAAAGATTCACCGCATCAAATTATGATTTACAAGAAGACCTATCTAACCTACCTTTGAAATAAAGATTGTATTGACAAGTGGATTGTGAACGAAATTCTGAATGATCTGTAGTCGTTCACCTTGAGTTGTTGGCCCATAAATAAACGGCCTATTGAAGAAAAACGCTATTGGTTAATTAAAGAAAGGATAAATATTTGGAAATAAACACTTTGCATACCGAAATGTCTGCAGAATTTATCAAAGCTCTTAAAACACTCAATACACATTTAAATCTAAGTGTAAAAAGTTGCGCGAAAGATGGAATTAATTATGTCATATCAAGAGAGCCATCATTGGGACAATCTACATATAATCAAAACTAAGTTGAATTAGCAGATTGAACAGGGAGTCATAATAGATGTCAAAGTACCAGTTTGTTTCGGTGACTATCAGTGCCTTTCGAACTAAAATGAAATTAGATAGGAATACTTGCTTGTTAAGCTTGACTGCATAATGCTTCAGAGCAAAGACATTGTCAGAAAATACAATTATCTTATCGTTGCGCCTGCAAAAAAAAGGAACATAGTGATTTCACTCCTAAATTTGTAATGAAAAGCTTAGTAGGCCAATGACTTTGGAAATGGAAATAGCATAGAGATGGAGTAGGCAAACTTTCCGTGTGTTTTGGCAAGGATTATAGAAACAAGGTCTGCACAAAAGGAAGAGTGTTTTGAAAAAGAGGACATATCGGATTCAGCGTGATTCACGATGTACAGCGTGATACAGCCAGCATTTGTCTATTGGTCCTTCATTTACGAAATAAAAAACGCGATTCTTCTAATTCTTCAAAAGACAGTAAGCAAATTACGAGAGTAAAACATATATTTCAGATACTTTGTAAAGACTTTCCAATCAACTGTATCAAACTTATAGTTCGGCAGTTAGGGATTGCAATGTTGCCATATCAACTTAACCATGCCACCTTTCTAAACCAACTGCGCATTTAAGTTGCCAGCTTGGAGCAGAGCCCGAAAGCGAACTGAATTTGCGATGTGATTCTATTTTCATCAATATTGGGGTAAAGACTATATCAAAGGGTGAAGCTTGTTTCTTTTTTATTATTATTACCATTAAATATTAAATAACTCAAAACCATTATTGACGCAAATAAACAACCAACCAACCTTTCATGAAACCTGATTAAGAACTAGGGGAAAAACGGGAGAAACGCTATTAGTGAGAGATACTAATAGGAGGTGCATATGAAAAAATAATCTGAAGATTTCTTCCCGTACATCTTTTTTTTGATAGCAGAAGCCAAATATTACCAGTTTTATACAAGTAAATTGCCCTTCTAAGCTTTTTAATTCAATTTTCAAAGAAAGTTTTCTATGAATATATGGGAGAAACGAAACGAAATCTGCAAATTCATTTATCGTAGTAGGATCCAAGTATGGGTTGCTTCATTCTCCATTTTAAATGAAAGAACGCTTCAATCCCAGTCACGTTGCTTAAGAGTTTTCACAGGAAGCTTCGAACATACAAATAAGCGCAACAGATTGAATGAATATTTAAGCTTTTTCCAAAAAACGCTTTTGAAAGCACTAAAAACTCACCTCACAAGCTCTGAATTTGTTGGGGTTCATAACATACAAAAGCTAGATGTGGTAAAAAGAATTTTGTGAAAATGTAGTAGAATAAGGATGATAAAATAATTAAAGAAATACGCTTGACATAATGGTTAATATTGTGCTATATAAGGCTGGGACGGGATTGAGTGTTTATAAATCAAGGAATTGCCTTAACTGATAAAGGATATGCTTAAAGCTGGCATTAGCAAGATGCTTATGAAGATGTGTTGACATTAGCAAACACAGTCAAAAGAAAATGGTATGAGACGCCTACCATTCTTTTTCTACTTTGAATGCCAAGGTATTCACGGTAAAACTCAGGCACCATCGGACACCACACCTGTAACGGGCAAAATGTTTCATTGGCTACATAATCCATATTCTTTGGTAAAATACAGTTAAATACAGTTCTCTCTTGATTTATACTCCCTACACTATATTCAAGCTTATTATGCCCTCGTCAAAGTTCTTGAACCATGAGAACATTCAATAGAGGCCAAAGTAAGAGAGGCCAAAATATGATGATTCTGGACTTGCTTAGTTAAGGCATGCTTAGTGAATGATGATGGTGTTTGGAAATCATGTCTTGATTTCATTTTACTTTTTTACTCTGCCAAATCAGTAAAATGTTTCACTATTAAGCGTTCAAAATAAAGCACTCAAAGATATCCGAGCTGATTGTAAATACAAAACTTAATCGAATTCCAATTTTTGAAAGTGTAAGTCAAAAGTATTTTAAAGGTAAAAGCATTCGGTGGGCCGGATCAAATCTTGTTGCGGGCTGGAGGTTAAGAATGGCTGGTATAGACAAAACACTATTTATCGATATGATTCACAAGAAACTTGACGCTCAGTTATCAGAAGGCGTGGAAAAGATAATCAATCTGGATAAGAACTCTTTCCATAGTGTCGAATTTTTGATTTGATTAAATGCTCAATGCAATACACTGACAAATCTTTAGCTTTAAATTGATTAAGAATAACACCACACACCTCGGCACACTGCACCCTTGCAAGATAACCATTATTCTGTAATTCCATCCAGTTTGCTTCGTAAAGTTTTGGTCCAATCAAAAAGTTCAGGTCCTACGACATCACAACAGATCAAAATGTATATGAAGTGTGTAAAAAAGGTATTTTCTAATTTTGAAAAATGCATTCTGCTGAATCTAACAGCCAGTCGTTCTAGGACGAACTCATTACATGAAGGTTCCATAGCACATTAAACAAAACAGTTTTCCTTCCCCTTTTGATGCGAGAAGGCGCTGCGTTTGCTGTTCAAAAACATTGATATTTCAAATATTAGAGTAGATGTTAACATAAAAACCTGGATTTTGTCATCTTCTCTTACTAATGTCGCAGTCAAACCCAATTTAGTGTGAGCATTGACAACTAGAACAAACGAACAAGATGAATTTAGGCAAGGAGTGCAGAAGAGGAAAAGTCCTCTGACACACAGTGGTGTTTTTTGTTGTTGAGGAAACCAAGTTTTTCCGGTTAAAAAGACAGACACTGCTTCCCCACTCCCCTAAAACAATGTTGGTTGTAGAGTCAAGTATCACCGCTATCTGAAATAAATCCATTGAACCACAACAAACCACTTGATTTTACATAAGCAACATTTTTGCAGGGGAATAGGGGAATTCAGTATGAAATAATCAAAAATTCAGTGTAGTGTACCAAGACTTGTGGCAGGCTTTGCAATTGATGTCTGATGATAGAAGATTTCATGGCCAAGAGATTAAAAATTGTTGAAATCTTGCGAAGATCTGGCGAAAAGAACACTATCATCTGGAAGTAGTATTACGCATTATCGCTTGTAAACCAAGAAAATTATCACAAAAATCTCTTTTTTCTTAATCGACAACAAATTGAAAGATCTATAAATTACTGGAAAAGAGATGATGAGAAAACTTGTTTAATTGAGCACACTGACACAATTTAAAAATTTTGCGGCACAAAAGTCTTATTCAATGCCGGAACATGTAGCGCTGGGTGAATCCGTTGTTCTATGAAAGGCAAGAAAGTACTCACTTGTCAAGACTCTCCTAAATTGCTTTGCAGGTATCGTGTGAACTTCTGCAGAAAAATTATTATCACAGCTTATTTTGAAATCTTTAACAAACAAAATGCTTATTAAATATTGCAGGAAAAGAAAGATTCTACTCTGAAATCAAAGAACGAAGCATGAAAAGTTCAATTAATAACATAAAGATCAACATAAATTATTAAACACCACTTCAGCTGCGTAGAAATTGTTTACAAAAGTGGCAAACGGCTTACCATCTAGCAACATAAGACCCCATTCTGTCGATCGAAGAAACTCCATTATCTAAGTGCGGAAATAACAAAAATTGTAAGCTTACTGAAAAAGTTAGACTATCCGAATCGAAAAAAGAAGTATGCAAAGTAATGTTAGTAAGCGGATCTGCAAAAAAACGAAAATATAAAACAATTGAATTACACGTTATAATTGAAAACACTGGAAATTTAAGGTAATTACATTACATTCAAACTTAGTGAAATGACGCGTAACAATTTCGGGTTGCTTAATTGAAGATAACAAGCTTAATAACTACAAAACACGGGACCTAGTTACTAACATTGATCTGATCACAATCAAGTTAATTTCTACAGGCAGGAGAAAATTTTAATAACAACTGCATGCAACATTATAAATTGAATAAAGAAAACGAGATATTCACTAATAGATAAGACAAAAAACACTAAAAAGATTTGTGTAAGTCTTTTTAAAGATGTATTTTGCGAGTTACTACCATGTTAAAACGAAGGCCTTACAGTTTATTAATCACAGAATTGTATTTTTTGAAATCGTAGCAAAGAGCTTGAAGAAAGAATATCATTTGTAGGGCAAATTAACACACGAACGGGCCCATTATCATCAAAACATCAACTCGACTTACGGCCTCGTTTTGGAAATTTGTTCAAAAATTCATTGTAGGACATTTTTAAGCTCAAATTTGGTTTTATCATCACAATTCGAGGCTTGATACAGTTTTTTACATTGTTTGTGCTTGTATTTTAGATTTTACGGAGAAATCAAGTTTGAAAACTTGCAAGGGATTTGAACGCAAAAATCATTCCGGATGAAACTTTACCCCCCTAGTCGCCTAACACGGTCAAATCCCTTATAAAATTTTTATCTTTATGTCGTCACAAAATCAATATCGTGAACAATACCATAATGAAAACTTCCAAGTAGACTAAAATCCTTGCTCTCAATCCGAACCTGAGGTCAAAAATTTTCTACAAAAGAATTCGAAGAATTTTTCAAAATGAGGCCGTAAGTCGAATTGGTGTATTACTCAGCATCACTATCAATTCTTCTACAGCAGTTAGAAAAAAGGGTACAGAAGGGTAGAGAAGGAAAACTGCACATGGGTTTATATTGTGGTATTTCTTTTCAGTAAAGTAAGGCATTACGTCATTCTTTGTCTGACCTGTTCTGACTCGTATGATCTTCGCATGGTGTGCGCAACCATAGAGTAAGTTGTTACTGCCACGTGACAATCTACAAAGAAGACAAAAATGAAGACAAATTGGCCCGAAGAGGATTAAGCTATCCCAAAGTATTACTAACATCTAAATGACAGAAATCAAACTAACCAGGTTCGCCTTTGATTCCGTTTACACTACAAGGTGGACAGTTTGAAGTGGGTCGACCCGGGTTACTTTTAACCTAGGGCGAACCCAGGTTAGTATGTGTAGTGTAAACAGGGCTTAGCAGTGCAACGAGAAATGCAAAGACCTGCTATGTGAATACAGCTGCACTTTTGCTGTGAGAATGCAGATCAACTGTTGCTGTGAGAGTGAAGAATTTGTATTAAATGTTTACCGACAGGTTTGTCCTTGGCATCCGAAGTGAATCTGCATATGTGTTTGTCGTCGATATTCGCCCAAAGTTTGAATTGAGACCTCCATTGCTCGACTGACACACCTATGAACGAGCAGCAAAAGCGGCAACTTAAACGGTAGTTTACGCCAATTGAAATCCTATTTATGACACTTGTGTTTGGAAACATAGCATACAGAAACACTTTTCGTCCGACATTTCTAAAAGTGTAAATGTCAGATAATGATGAAAAGACAAGCAGAAAGTTTAAATCCAGATGCGGACCGAAAGTAACGCTAGAGGGAGAATGACGCGTTAAACTTTGGGCATCCGCATATGGATATAAATTTCTGCTTACTTTATGTCTTTAAATGAAATCTATACTCTGCGGACTCACGGACCAAACGCACACAAGTATGCTTTGTTACGGCTTTTCCGTGCTATCTTGAAATAATCCATAAACTTGGTACTGCCTTAACAACCAAATGCATTAGCAAAAAAATATTGTATAGATCGAGAAAATTCATTCTGAAATAAGACTCTGTTTTGATGCAAAGAGGCATGAAGAAGGTATTCTTCAACACGACATTGTTACGATGTTAAGCAAATCTTTTTTTAAAAAGCCAAGATAATGATACGAAGAGGCCTGAAGAAGGTATTATTCAAACATGCGATGGTTTCGATATAGAGCAGTAATATTTTAAAAAGACGAATGGTAAAAATACGAAGAGGCCCAAAGAAGATGTTCTTTAACAAGATACGGTCACGATATGAAGGAGAATCTCCTTTAAAAGAAATGGTTTCGATATAAAGAAGATGTTTTTTAACACAACATGGTAACGATGTGAAGAAAATATTATTTAATTAGACATGGTTTTGATACGAAAAAGCGCAAAATACTCTTTAACAAAACATGGCATCGACTGTAGAAGCATGAAGAAGTTGTTCCCTAATAAGTCTCGGTTATTCTCAAATAATCAAACAGACACCAAGATCTTTTTTAACAAGACTGAGCTTTGAAATGAAGAATCATGAAAAGTTCTTCTACAAAATAACATTCACAGTCTCTAATAGAACTTTACAAAATGAAAACTTGATCGCTGCAGCATCCCCCACCAACATAGTTTCATATGGATGAAGAGAACACTTCATTGCAACAAAGATTACCTGATGTGCACAATACCAAACACTTTTTACGGACTGTGCAGGCGGCTGTGACCCCAACGAGAGTTTTCCCAGCACCTGCAAAGAGACATTTCGTTAAGAATTAACACCGCATATGGGACAATAAAAGCTTTACTATATACACTTCGAAAATATACATTGAGCAGAATAGCAGATGGACACAAAAGTTAGCCGTGAAAGTGTTGAGAAGATGGTCAACCAAAAGCCCTTGTGGACTTCTACTTAAGCATTTTGCAGGCTATAGACGTCTGGGCGAAAGGCACGGCCGATTTTTTTAAGAAACACCCTCATCAATGTAAACAAAGCATTAGAACTAACCACAGGGAAGCACAATCACTCCTGATCTTGCTCTTCCATTGCCAAACATTTTTCTTAAACTTTTTTCCTGTAAAAAGAAAAGTAACACTGGGAAAACAAGACATCAACCAGAATCATAAAAATATTGATAAGGAAGTTTCCAGCTGAAATGTATGTGAAATAGCGCAGCCGTTTCATTCATAATATTTGCACATCATAGCCCACTTAGCGTCTTAAGTTCTCAAGACACACTTGCAAAAAATCAAAAATTGACAACTAAAAACTCTACACAGAGACACAACAGGGGCGGCTGGGAGTAGAAAAGTATTGGTATTAGCCTCCGAAATTAAGACATAAGAAGGTCCCTCCGCAAGGTCCTGCAACTATTTAACAGGGGTGGAGCTTATATGTTCTTATTTAAGAAGGTGGGCAAAATGACCTTTTCGATATGATGGTTTAAAATAGCTTTTGGCAATACCATATCTTACAAAATTATTTGAAGGCACTGGCCCCCGTTGTCTCCCCCCAGACACTGATGACCCTGTGGTAATGTAGTTCATCCTACTAGTTTTGGGTGAAGGATCGGTCCTACGAAATACAAATGAATTATGGCTGCGGCAAATTACTCGAGCGAAATCGTGTTTTGATACAGCGGTTTGCTGCCCAGTAATGGAGCCCCAAGGTATTAGCCCATTAATTCTAATACCATGAGGCTTTTGGCCCGCGAATGAGATTCTATTACGATAAAGCGAGCGATTTACTTCAGAGTAATGCAGCAAAAAAGCGTAAGATGTATCATTTGATTTGAGAAACCGAGAGAAATAATGTGAGAATGTTGCCTGTGACTCTACGGTCATATAGAATCAAAGTTTTACAAAACATACAGTTCATACAAAACAACTTTTACAACTGCCTTTAGCTTAAACAAATTATTTCATGACTGTTGCTCTTTATATTCAGTGTCTAAATTTTGTCAATCAAATTATCCATCCAAAGGCATTGCTAGCAAAAGTACAGCTACATTTTGTAAATTCATAAAGTTAATTTCCAGAAATATTTTTTCTGTAAGCTGAGGCCTTGTAGAATAGAGCTGGGGCTCTTTCCACCGTCCCTTCCACTGACAGTGGCCCTCGTAGTATTAGAAATGAAAAACTAATACCTTACTGCTGTTCACCCATTCTTCTACCATGGCTCAACAAGAGTAATTCACGTCATGCAGACCACAACAGACAAAAGAAATTTCGGGGCAGTGTATTAGTTTTTGGAGGCTAATACCATGGCCAGGGCTGCTGATTACGGCATTGATTACACTTTTCAAAGATTTCAATGAGGATTAGGAAAGCTTTCATTCAACGAACAGAAAAGCAAATATAGCTTGGCTATATGAATAGAGCTGGTCGCATCGATAAATTTGTTGTGAAAAAGTGGCAGCGTACAAAAAGCAAAATAAATTTCCTGCAATCTCAGAGACCATAAGTCGCCTTCCTTTGAAAATAAAAAGGTATTAGACTAATACCTTTAATACCACCCCACGCCGCCCCTGAGACACAATTAGGATACATTTTAACATCACAAAGTAAATTTAGATAAAAACAGCACACATATATATAACAATATCTAGTTTAAAGCAATAAACAAACCTGATAAGGTCGAAGAAGTGTCGTTGGCTTCAGATCAATACTAAGAATGATAATATCAGTCACAAGGACAATCCAAACGCTTGTTGGTTTGAGTAAAAAAATAGCAGAATTGGTTTTATACAATATTTCACTTTACTATACATTACTGTGCACGATGCTACGTGTTATACAATATATTACTTTATGGTACATTGCTGTAAATTATTGAAGATTATAATTAATGAAGATTATAACGTAATTAACGATACAATATTTCACGTTCTACATTTCACTTACTTAATATCCGGGTTAGTGGTGTCGTTCTTAAAGTCATATTCAGCAAGCAACGGAAAATCCATCTCTATACACCTGTAAAAAACAGCACAGTGCACAATGAATAGAAGTTTAAAAAAGGTTCCTTTCTTTACAGCTTTGAAATTCATAAAACAACAAATTGCTCCATAATAGTGTAGCATTTATAATATAAATGTCACACTGACGACAACGGGTTTTCACAAAAAACAACGCTCAAAGTCATGTCAATACCAAATTGAAGTTCAATTCAGAATTTTTTAAAGTTTTAAATATTAGGAAGGAAGTTAAGCTACTGCAAATCAAAAATTTAACTGAACCATCCAGAAGTTTTGATAAAATGAAAAGTTGCTTCTAGAATGAGACTGTTTTTAAATACACTCGATTGGGTTGCCTTTGGTGGCAAGTATGAAAGATCCTTGGCAACATCAATTTTAAAATCTGAGACTCGACCAAGGAGGTCTTGTTGCAATGCGTTTAACTGAAGGCAGCGTATGTGAAAGTGTTCATTATTGTCTCTAAATGTACCAAAAGTACACACTCAAGGATTCAAAATTATGCTTTAATCTATGATCATTTAGAATTTCAAAGTTAATTAAAAGCCATTTTAAATGGATAATTTTAAGCTGGCAGTGTTCACCTTATGCAGGAAGAGCGCTATCTAATATATCTATGCTTTGCAAAATATATCTATGATTAGCAAGAAAGTATTTGAAAATAATAGTGTAAAAATAAGATCACAGTAATCAACATCGTTGATCAATTTTGATGGAGTATTTGACCCTTTCCGGTTGTCTTGGTTTGCTAAGCACCGCCCCGTCATTTAAAAATAATTTAAATAAAAAAGCTTTGATACTTCAAAATATACTTAGAACTACCTTCTTTGCAATTCTTCAATTTTTTCTTGAGTAACTTCAAATGACACTGTCTGGGTCTAAAGATCGATAATGAAAAAAATAATCAATGCAACCCGTGCAATTTAAAGCTGAAATTTGGTGAACAAAAACTGAACAATTCCTTGATGATGTACACATGATTGCAAATGGCAGAGGTTGAGATTAATCAAACAGTAAAATGCCTGAACTTTTGAGATAATATCAACTTCTTACTTCGTCGATTAAATATTATTCTTATCTGCTGCTACAAAAAATATCTTAGGTTGCTGAACGCCTATTGCCATTTTAAATATAATTACTCTTTGTTTTATATTTACAAAATTAGTCTTGCAAAAAATTAAAATAAATTGCTTCCCGATTTTCCCCGAAAGAAAGCGATTACAAAAAGTTAAAAAGATAAGTTAGTTGAATCAAATCAGTCTAAAGCTGCAACAATATTCCATAAACCATTCGTCTCTCCAGCTGCGTTAAGTATCATCCTCAGCTTATTTATGGATCATTACTTAAATATTTATCTACCTCGTGAATATAAACATCACCAGTAATGGAATACGTTTGCTATTTAAAGCCAATTTTCAAGCAGCTGCAATATGGATCCCATACTTTTTCTAATAACCAGTAAACACTGAAGACGTGCAGTGGATAATGGCGGTCGCAAAGCCTGTCCCATGAAAATCATTTTCTGTTATAATGTAGAATATGAATATAGTTAACAGCTAGAACGGCAACCTCACGCTTCAGCATATTGACACAAGCTTTTCTAGCTCTGCGTTCTAATCGAATCACCAAAGAAAAGGCATGGCATTGTTTCTCACCTCTTCTTCTGCGTCGTCATCGTCATGGACGATCTTTTCAATAAAATCTGAAATATCCGTTGGTATCTGCTCTTGAACAACATCCTGAGTATAAAATGTCAGAAATTCATGATTTTTATTATAAGTTATCAAAATAGATTTTCTCTGAATTGGGCAACCGAATCCAGGGAATAAAAAGACTCATAGAAGTGACAGGGAAAGATTTTTGGGAAGGGATGAAAACCACTACCTAAATTCAGAATAAAAAAGAATTATTTTGAATGGCAATGCGGAATTTGATAACAAAGCTATTTGCTCTGAAAAAATGAACTTCAGAATGTTACTGAATTGAATTGAATTTGGAAGATAGTACAAAACACATGCAGAATAGGAAAAACATAATCTCCATACGAGAGGTACAGGCCAATAATGGAAACTTTTCATTTTGAATTCCAGTTAAAACTACAATTACAAATCTCACTATTACAAGGTAAGCCTGTGTTTACAAAATAAAAACTATTACAATCGTAGTGATGAGAAAAAAAATGTTAAAAGGGGAGTAGCTCTGGATTAGTCCAAGTTTTGTTTCTACAACAGAATATATAGTATGTGGTGCGAATGGAGATGCTTTTAAGTTTGGAGATGATCTAGCGTTTCTGTTCATGATCAATGGACAAAGAGTCACACATGTCTATGGATGAGCTGCAGGAGTTGCCAAAAATACCAAGTGAACTGATGGAAAGATTGAAAAACGAGACTGACTTAAACTGACGTGTTAAGTCAGATACGAGGGTAACATATTTCTCTGACTTTCTGACAGCATTGCAGTTGAGATTTGTTTCAAAGCCTATGGTTAGCTCTAAAACGTACAGACAGTTTTCCTTAGTTTTGAGAAGTAAGTCAGGGCGTAGTTGATCTCCAGTTATGATAGAAGGGGAAAGAAAGCCTGGCAAATCTGCGCAGAGAGAAGACCCATTTATTGCTTGGAAGGAAGTGGCTAGGAAGTTTAATGCAGAATTATAACGCCAAGTATAGCGGCCTTGGTCAAGGTACATTTTGCATCCAGCAACAACGTGTAGAAGTGTTTCTGGAAGAAGACAGAAATCACAGTCAGATGTTTGACTAAGGTTCCATTTCAGCAGGTTTTTACGAGTTGGAAGAGTGTTGTTAAGATACCTGATGGTAAAGTTAAAGATGTTACTAAGCAAATTGCTCTGTGTTCTTGACCAAATACCGTTCAGCTTTTCCAGTGAATGTTCCAGTAGCAAGGTAATTGTAGCTCCCTGAGATGTTAAGTTTTGAGAGAGACGTTCTTTGTTGTCTGATTTGACAGCCTTTAATACCTCTTCAGCATTACGATAGATGTAGTACTGTAGGTTCGTGCCATGACTGGTGTTTTTCCATAGGGTGTTTGTCAGTTTGGTATTGCGTAAATTTGATAGAAGACCAAACTGATTTTTTGAGAGGATTATTCGACTCGATGTTGCAGAAACAGGAAGATCAAGCCACTGGCAAATGTAATTAGAAACAAGATTGTCTAGGTTTTGGACAACCCAGGTCTTTGGTAGATCTGCAACAGTAAAATGCCATGAAACTTTAGACAGAACATAACGATGGTATAATAGCAGTTTGTTTTTAGGAAGGAGAGCGAGCTACTTAAAGGAATCGCCATTTTTGACAGCAGGAACTATTTGGTTACAGATGAAAAGTTTCGGTTGAAATTGGAGGGATCGCGTAGAGTGTTTCTTGACACCAAAGGTAACACATTTGTCAACCCTGACAATGAAGTTTGCCCATTGGCACCATATGGTAAAGCAGGTCAATAAGAGTTGGTTCTCCTTTTCTCCACTGGTAACAAAAGCAGCATCAACAACAAACTGAAACCAGTGTACTGGCTGAAACATGCGGTCATTACCATCATGGAGTACCAGGAATACAAAAGTTATTGGAAGGATTAAAGGGGCACAAAGCTGCTGGGCCAGAAAAAATCAGCCCAAAGTCTTAAAACAACTTGCAAAAAGTATTGCCCCAATATAAGCACTAATATTTAGAAAGTAATATGATACAGGGGCAGTGCCACGGAATTGGCAGAAAGCTAATGTTGTTCTAGTATACAAGAAAGAGAAAAAGTCAATGACCAGTATTGATCGCCCTATCTCTCTTACCTGTATTGTCTGCAAGATCATGGAACATGTTATTGTTAGCAACATAATGTCTCATGCTGTTTCTAATTCCATTCTGTATAATCTGCAACACAGAATCAGGGACAAACGTTCATGTGAAACACAGTCCTTAGAATTTCAAGAAGATCTATTAAAAAATCTACAGGAAAGAAAGCAAACAGATGTGCTTATAATGGACTTTTCCAAAGCATTTGATAAGGTGGGTTACTTAAGGCTGTTGGAAAAGTTGAAATACTATGGAATTAGCAGTAAAACAAATGCATGGATTAGCAGCTTTCTTATGAACAGAAAATAGACAATGCTGCTAGATGGGGAATACTCATACGAGGCAGATGTCCTCTCTGAGGCCCTCAAGGCTCAGTATTAGGTCCATTATTCCTCTTCTATATAAATGACCTGCCCAAGAAACAAAATTCGACAGTGAGACTTTTTGCTGATGACACAATAGCGTACCTAGCAATTAATTCGGAAATAGATTCAATAAGCCTACGAAATGATCTTGAAAAGTTGGCACAATGGGAGGATAAGTGGCAGATGGAATCCCATCCAGAGAAATGTCAAATTTTTACAATAACAAGAAGCAGGTCATCAATGATATACGATTACACTCTCCATGGGGAAAGTCTGTGCCATGTAAGCTCTTCCAAATACCTAGGATTAACATTATCAAAGGATCTGAGCTGGAATCAACATATCAGTCACACTGCCAGCAAAGGCACCAGATCCCTTAATTTTCTCAAAATGAATTTTCGCATAAACTCGCCTCAACTGAAATTAAAAGCCTACAAAGCAATTGTAACACCAGTTGTTGAATATGCTACAACGGTATGGGATCAAGTCCCAGGAACTGGACCAGATTATTATAACTTTTCGTACTTTCCCCGCACAATTCAAGCGTGGAGTATGTTACCACAATCAGTGATTGACTCAGAAACAACCAATTCTTTTAAAAACGCAATTTAGTATATGTAAATAAAAAAAACTTAATGTAAAAAAGAAAAAACAAGTTTAATAAAAAATTTTACGGTTGCAGTGCAGTTTGATTCCATAGGGTAAAAATTCATAGGGTATCATTATAATTGGATAAATACTATCTTAGTCACGGAACTGCTGCTCTGTTGCTTTACTTATTCATTTGTTATTATTTGTTGTTAACGTTTTGTGTGTTTTTCTTTGTTTGTTTGTTTGTATTTGTTTTCTTTACATCAACAGAGAGAGCCTTCAGCATTGAAGTTGTTGATTAAATACGTAGAAGTAGGAGTAGAAGTATGGTGGGGGGTGGGGGGGGGGGGGTGGGGAAACCAAGCTGCTTATATTTATCTGATTTGATGTATTGTATGATAATAATAATAATAATAATAATGGAAACTTTTCATTTTCAAATCAATTAAAACTACAATTACAAATTTCACTATTACAAGGAAATTTGCAATTGGCTAGCCTGGGTTTACAAAGAAAAAGACTATTACAAGCACAAACAAAAGAAATTAACAAAAAAAAGGAAAATGTGTGTTCGTCATTGTTTGTTTATAATAATAATAATAATAATAATAATAATAATAATAATAATAATAATAATAATAATAATATATAATAAATAATAATAATAATAATAATATAAAAGACGACATGACAATGTGGCAAGGTATATTCATTGGTTGTAAGCGGAAAAGTGCGGATTTGAAAGAGCCACAAAATGGTATGAACAGAAACCTGAAGGAGTTTTAGAGAATCACAAGTTTAAGCTACTGTGGGATTTTATGATTCAATGTGATAGGGTTGTTGAAGCTAGAAGGCCAGACATTGTTGTCGTTGACAAGGAAAAAAAGGATGTGAAGATAATCGATATTGCCATTCCTGGTGATAACAGGGTAAAAGGTAAAGAACAAGAAAAAATTGAGAAATATCAACCATTAAAGGAGCAAATCGGAAATCTGTGGAATATGAAGAAGGTGACAGTCATCCCTGTTGTGATTGGGGCATTAGGGTGTATATCATGTTGTTTTGAAGAGCACATGGAAAAGATCGGAATTGATGTAAAGTTACAGGTGATACAAAAGACAGCACTGCTAGGGACAGCCAGGATTTTGGGACAGACATTGTCTATGTAAACTTGAGATGACAGAATGGGACCTTTGTCAGCTTGTTGCTGACTGCTCCCTCCTATATTATCCGGACCAATTAACATCTAGGTGTCTGTGAATCACTTAATTAGCCATAATAATAATAATAATAATAATAATGAAAACATTTTTATTTTATATTCTTCTACTTACAACAGTAACCTCACTTTACAGGTAGTTACTATCGGCTAGCCTGGTAACAAGTTTACTAATTTTACAAAAGTTATAACATTTAAATAAAATCATATGAGTGCAAAGAATCTTTAGAAGGAGAGCAGTTCAGGGTTTGCCCAAGTCTTATTGCGCATACAGAATATATATAATAGGATGTGCGTATAATTATTGCTGACAGTTTTTTAATTATAAAATTACGGTGTTGGTAGTCAAGTTTTAGTTCATCACACATATCGATGAAAGAATCACAGGAGTTACCGAAGATACCGAGACAGCTGATGGAAAGATTAACAAAGTTTACTTTTTTGAACTTAGGGCGTAGTTCCTTTAGAAGGGAAAGGTACTTCTCAGCTTTACGCGAAGCGTTATTGTCCAGGTTAGTTTCGAACCCAACAGTTAATTCGATGACATACAGACAGTTGGAAGCAGTTTTGATAAGCATGTCGGGACGGAACGAATCGCCAGTTATGATACATGGTGATAAATAAGCGGGAATGTCAGCATATATGAATACATCTCGGATACAATGAAATGATGATGCAATGAAGTGCAGGAAATGAAATGATATTATTATAATAATAATAATAATAATAATAATAATGGAAACATTTCATTTTCAATTCAACTTAAACTACAACTACAAATCTCACTATTACAAGGTAATTTGCAATTGGCTAGCCTGGTTTTACAAGAAAAAACTATAACAATCGTAAGGTAAAAGGAAAAACTGAGAAAAATAAAATAAAACAACTAAAGTTAAAAAGGATGTAATTCCGGATTTGTCCATGGCTTATTTTTGCAACAAAATATATAGTACGTAGTACGGATGGCAATGTTGGAAAGTTTAGAAATGAGATACTGTTTTTGTTGCTGATCGATGGAGAGAGAGTCACACATTTTGAAGAATGAATTGCAGGAATTGCCGAAGATGCCAAGAGAGCTCATAGAGAGATTAACAAAGGAGACACATTTGAACTGCCGCTGTAAATCAGATAAGAGAGGAGCATACTTGCTGTGTTTTCTTGTAGCATTTGTCTCAAGATTGGATTCGAAGCCAACAGTTAGCTCTAAAATGTAGAGGTAATTGTTGTTAGTCTTCAAGAGAAGATCAGGGCGAAGGTTTTCTCCAGTTATGATTGATGGTGAAAGAAAGCCAGCTATATCAGCGTAGATGGTAGATTCATTGACAACTTTTAGTGACGTAGCTAGAAAGTTTAGGATAGAGTTATGTCGCCAGGTGTATCGGCCTTGTTCCAGATATGTTTTGCAGCCAGCAACAACATGAAGGAGGGTTTCTGGCAGAAAACAGAAAGAACAGTCAGAGGTCTGGCTCAAGTTCCATTTTTTCAGGTTTTTCTGTGTGGCAAGGGTATTGTTCAGATACCTTATCGTAAAATTGAAAATATTCTGAGGCATGCTACTTTGCACCTTGGACCAAAGTTTGTTAATTTGTGGAAGATTCTGGTTAAAGAGATGTGATAATAAAGATCCTTGGGAGGTTAGGATGTTTTGCAGACGATCTTTATGCTCATGCTGGACAGCCTTTAATGCTTCTTTGGTGTTCCTATATATATCATATTGTATATTTGTGTCACTGCTGGTATTTTTCCATAAAGAGCGAATGTTATCGTTTGGTGAAGATTTCAATGCGTTTCGTAAAACTGTTTGACACTGTAGGAATTTGGTGGATGGTAAAGTTAGGCTGAGTCCAAACTGGTTTTTAGAAAGAATAATGCTACTCAAGGTAGCACTTATTGGGAGGTCGAGCCACTGGCGGATGTATTTGGATACAAGGTTGTCAAGATTCTCGACAACCCACGTCTTTGAAAGATCTGCTACAGTAAGGTTCCAGGAAATTTTAGAAAGAACGAAGTTGTGATAAAGACGTAGCTTATTTTTTGCATGAAGAGGCTGGGAATCGATTTGTTTAAGCATGTTTGACAGTGATGATGATGATAATAATAATAATAATGGAAACATTTCATTTTCAATTCAACTTAAACTACAATTACAAATCTCACTATTACAAGGTAATTTGCAATTGGCTAGCCTGGTTTTACAAGAAAAAACTATAACAATCGTAAGGTAAAAGGAAAAACTGAGAAAAATAAAACAACCAAAATTAAAACGGATGTAATTCCGGATTTGTCCATGGTTTATTTTTGCAACAAAATATGTAGTACGTAGTACGAATGGCAATGTTGGAAAGTTTAGAGATGAGATACCGTTTTTGTTGTTGATCAATGGAGAGAGAGTCACACATTTTGAAGAAAGAGATGCAGGAATTGCCAAAGATGCCAAGAGAGCTCATAGAAAGATTCACAAAAGAGACACATTCGAACTTTCGCTGTAAGTCAGATAGGAGAGGAGCATACTTGCTGTGTTTTCTTGTTGCATTTGTGTCAAGATTGGATTCAAATAATAATAATAATAATAATAATAATAATAGCAATAATAAAAATAAAACCATATTTATACAGGTTAGTTTGTTCGGCAAAATAATTTGCTGCTATCAATCAAGGACCTGTTAATCTAGAGTTCCTATAATATTTTACAATAATAATTTAATATAATTTTACAATAAAAATGTTTTAAAATAGTCTAAGTATGTTTTCAAAATAAGAAACAAGCAATGATAAGTCTAAAGAAAAATGTTAAAAGTCAAAATCAAAAACAATGTAATAATATTGATAAAGAATGTAATAGTCACAATACTAATAAGATAAACGGCTAATTCAGGATATTAAACAGAGTTCAAAGCATTGCTTGCAGCAAGAAAAAGGAAATAAAATTGTAAGAAAAAGAAGGGTAGGAGTATTATGGAGCTTAAATGACGGTCACGGCTACCATTAAAAGAGCAGAGGTCGATAGAAAACACAGTGGCAACAAGGCATCACCAAGTCATTACATTGAGCTTCGTGGATGCTGAAAAACGCAATTCTAGATGTTAGTCAATGCTGCTTTGTTTGGCGTTCCCAAAGCAAACAATGAAAACTACCGTTATAATCATGAAGCAGTTGGCTGTCTTTTACTGCTAGGATTTATCCTTCTTTAAGCTTGAAATACGTTAACCATTTTGTTTGATTGAATTTCAAAAATACATTTAGTAACTTCAGCCTTTACTAGATATTCTACTTTAAATATTTTCGAGAAATTTTTAGAAATATTAGCAATCACAAGAAATTTTTAAAAATGAATATCCAACTAAAAATCTTGGAACAAGATTCCTGAAGACATCAACCTCTAATATTTGCAGCAATAAGTTGGCAGACCACTTCCTTAAACAGTCCTTTTTATACAAACTCACTCAAGTATCTAAATTTCATTGAAATTGCATCGACTGCATATTAACATCTTGATTAATGGCAGCAATAAGCACTTTGCTTCCAATGGGTAATGGTTTTCCAATGGGTAATGGTTTTAACTGATAACCACTTTGTATGGTTTTCTTACCGATTCTTTTGAAGCGTTTTCAGATGGTTTTGCGTCTGCGTCTTGGGCCTTTGGGACCGGTTTGTTGAGCTGCGAGAAAAGTGACATGAAGGAAAAAAGTGACAAATGCAGTTATCCAAAATGAGTCTATTTTTATTGCATTCCTTTCGTTCAAAAATGTTGGTTTAATCAAATTATCAAGGCATATGAAAGCTCATTTTCTCCTTGCACTTGAGATTGCCTGATAATGAATAATTTTTTATTTTGAAAAAAATACGAGGACTTGGAGAGCAAATCTATTGTAAGCTTATCTATCAGTGCTTATCTATCAATGCTTAAAATTCAGCCATATGTAAAACTTATTTACTTTTCTTGTAGATAAGTAATGTGAATAGTCAACGTGAATTAGTCGAATCTGCTGTGTCATATTATCTCTTCGGGCTCATTTTAGAAGGGGATATTCTGCAAATAACGAAGCATGTTTGTTTGCCTGAAGACACAGTGGCAACAAAATTGCGTCAAGATTGAAATGCAAAGGCTAAACAGCTGGGCGTGTCAAGCTTATGCAGTACCTTCAATGCAGACTTGCTTTTAAATTTTGAAGACACCAACACTTCCTTTTCATCTACATCAAAACGTTTCCTGTAAAAATCAAATAGCGCTCGTGACTTATTGATTTCGCTATAGAATAAAATGAGCCAATTAATGGACTGAGGATCGGGAGTGAAAGACTAGGTTAACCTCAAAGAACAGACATGCTTGGATCTCCTTTTCACGACATAAAAAAGCATCAAACAAATGTATTGACGTACATCAAAATACTTTCATTAGCATTTCTATAAAATTAATAGCAGTCCAGATCCGCTGTAGCGTTATTATCCTGTTTAAGTATTCGTATTACAATTATATCATTACCGTTATTATAAAATGTATGAAATCAACCAAAAACAAAGAAATGCTAACTCAGCCGAGCAAGAAACTTGTGAAATCAACCAAACGGAAAACATGTGAAATCAACCAAACAGAAAACATGTCAAATCAAACAAACAGAAAACATGCGAAATCAACCAAACAGAAAAAAAAATGAAATCAACCAAACGGAAAACAAGTGAAATCAACAAAACAGAAAAGATATAAAATCAACCAAACAGAAAACATGTGAAATCAACCAAACAGAAAACATGCGAAATCAACCAAACAGAAAACATATAAAATCAACCAAACAGAAAACATGCGAAATCAACCAAACAGAAAACATGTGAAATCAACCAAACAGAAAACATGCGAAACCAACCAAACAGAAAACATGCGAAATCAACCAAACAGAAAACATATAAAATCAACCAAACAGAAAACATGCGAAATCAAACAAACAGAAAACATATAAAATCAACCAAACAGAAAACATGCGAAATCAACCAAACAGAAAACATGTGAAATCAACCAAACAGAAAACATAGAAAATCAGCCAAACAGAAAACATGCGAAATCAACCAAACAGAAAACATATAAAATCAACCAAACAGAAAACATGCGAAATCAACCAAACAGAAAACATGTGAAATCAACCAAACAGAAAACATGCGAAATCAACCAAACAGAAAACATGCGAAATCAATCAAACAGAAAACATATAAAATCAACTAAACAGAAAACATATAAAATCAACCAAACAGAAAACATGTGAAATCAATCAAACAGAAAACATATAGAATCAACCAAACAGAAAACATGCGAAATCAACCAAACAGAAAACATATAAAATCAACCAAACAGAAAACATGCGAAATCAACCAAACAGAAAACATGTGAAATCAACCAAACAGAAAAAAATGAAATCAACCAAACAGAAAACATATAAAATCAACCAAACAGAAAACATATAAAATCAACCAAACAGAAAAAATGTTAATTCAGCCTAACAAGAAACATGTGATATCAACCAAACAGAAAAATGTGAAAGCAACCAAATAGAAAATGAGTGAAATCATGAAAAATACATGCCAACTCAACGAAATAGATAATTTATGAAATCAAACAAACAGAAAACTTGTAAAAGAAACCAAACAGAAAACAAAGGATATGGACGAAACCAACCTGCAGTTTTGGACTACTGGATCTTTCAAAAGTTTTTGAAGAACATCCTGAAATCAAAATTAGACTTGCTAATGAAAATGCTACAATAAACCGGAAAATCTTTATGAAAATTGCTCTTCTCAAAAATCACCAATCAACAGCTTGATTCTGTTTATAAGCAATTTTGAAATCTCTATCTAGCTATTGTCATCTTCAAATCTAGAATATTTAAATAAAGCATGAATTATTTTAATAAATAAATATTTCTTCTTTAGCCAGAATCTTTTAGTTTTATTTTAATAATTGCAATTAAACAATAAATACGTAAGTCATTTGGATGGATATTTTGTTTATTATTACTTAGGGCCTTCATTTCTTCATATATTCATATTGATGACTGTTCAAAATCAAGGTAAATTTATTTATGACTCATACAAAAACAGTAAATTTAATTGCTCGGATAAGAAATAAAAATGTAGGTCAGTTGTCAATACCCAAAGAAACTAATTAGGCAGTTGTAGCTTTTTAATGTCAAGTGAATTATTATGAACTTGAGAGAAAATAGCTGCTTATGCTCTTACTCTCTATGGCTTGTACCAACAAATATGTTATGCTGGCTGTGGGGGAATGTAAAACAACACATTCATAGAAAAGCCAAGAGTAGCACAAAAGTACTAAGACTGAAAAATTCTGAAAAAGTTTTTAAAAAATACCGGAAAACTGCTTTCGACATAATAGCGATTGTGTTTGAGAAGCAACTTCACCTTTCCATAGCTGAGAGTGCAAAGCTAAAATGCAGACGAGAGAAGAAATTTGTGATGAGTATAGAATTTAGAATAAGACTTGATGCCAGATAAAAACGAGGCCTGGAAGTCAGGATTTAAAGCAAAATAAGAGGGTGGTTTTAGGTAACCAAAACAAAAAAAGAGTCCTTCATTACTGGGAATGGCAGTGAATAATTTGAAGTGAATAACTATAGATCTTTACCTTTATAAATTGAATAATTCCATCAGGTACTGTTGTCTTGCTTAGCCTTTGTAGATACTCAATGATATCATTTGTCTGGAGATCATTGAAAAATTAAGAAAGTTCCAACAGAAGAAATTAAAGTAAATTTGACAAATCGAGAGGCTACCATAATTACTTTCCTTCTGGGCCTGCAAAGGATTATATATATTGACGACAAAATTGTTGAATAAAGAACTGTAGGAAAAATAAACCTCAAAAATGACAAGACGTACTGAAACACCTTATGTAGAATCAAATTTAATGAACTCCAGAAGACTTTGAATGTGCTAAAGATTATCAACAGAAAAGCAATCGTAAAAATAAAAAATGTCTAGAAATATGATTCGTGTGGTGACCAAAATGTCCAAAAAGTGACTGAAGTTTTTATCAAACAAAGTCCTTAACAAAATTATTCTTGAAACTTCTTGAAACCAAAATAGCATAGCAAAATACCTGGAGACCAACGGAAACAGCAGCGTACAGAGAATAAGCAGTTAGTCTAAAAAAACAAAAATGACACTCAAACAATCTCATTTTTATATTTAATTACACTTTTCACAAACCATTCTAGCAAAAGCTGTTTTGAAGTTTAGGTAGTGGAGATATCCCCCGCGTATGAATAGGAAATAATAGAATGAAGCATGTGATATGTGCAAGGTCACAGATCAGCATCGTTATAGAAAACAATGCATATACATGATAAGAGCGTGCATAGGTCAAGAGCCAAGGTTTTTTGCCTTATATGGTATTGATGGAAACACATATTGGCGTAAAACATATGACAGGAGATCCAAGAGAAAGGTCATAGTGTAAAGAAACAACCACTCCTTAGCGTAGGCAGGTGGAGTGGTGGAAAATAACTCCTTGATTTGCCGTAGCCAATAACAAGTAACCGAATGGTCGATAAAGGCCCATATGAATAATGCTAAATAAAAAAGGTAAAACGCTCTGGAAAGTGTCTTTATTGTTTCTGCCCTGAGATACGAGAAATAGAACGAGAAACTTTCTAACAAACACTATCCATTAAATTGGTTTCTTTTGCAAACTCTGAAATAAAAGTTGGACAAAATAACGAGGTTTTCAAATACCTGTATTCATGAATAAATTCTGGCCTGCAAACAGGCTGAAACAAAAGCATGAAATTAGATTTTTATAACAACAGTAAAACTAAGAGCAACAACAAAACGTCATTTAACAAAGGAACTAAAAAAAACTCAATAAAGAAATGTTTCTGCATACGGAAAAACGCTATTTTCAAATATTTTGAAACCAATTTTTTTCTCTAGGGGGAAAGAGTAGGAGCAGCAGTAGAGATAACCGGTGAAGTTAAAAAGTAAGATGGAATTCTTTTCTTTTGGTTTTTTTACATCTGAAAAATCTCGAACATACCATACGAGTATCGCAGCAAAGGGACTATTACAAAGGCACTTCACGGAAAAAATCCTTTCTCAAACTTCTTTTATTTGAAATAATTTATGATGAAAAATATACTATGAAACACAAATCATCAAAATTTAAACAACTACTTTCAAATTGCCCAAGCCAAAAAGACAAAAATAAGAATAACAATTTCCAGACATTTATAGATAAACATTTTTCGTCACAAGCTGCCCATATTGTAGGTACAACAAAATTGCAGTTGGCAATTAATTTTTTTAGTTGATAATGTTAGGGAAAGGCTCATGAGCCTATAGCTAGGCCCTAACAAGGGAAAGGGAGAAAGGATTAGGAAGCGAGAGAGACAAGATCAAGTTTTTTTACTTCTGCGATGCTTAAATTCGTCGAAGAGCATCTGAAAATCTGAAGAAATGGTTACTAAGGCATTCAATATTGCCCATGGCTCGTTCCATACGGCGAGTTTCTTATAAAAAGATGGGTGTAGTTCCCCCCGGGGCACTCTCATACTTGACCTGACGGGACATGCTGCGGAAAACGGTATCCTTTTTAGATTAAATTTATGAGACAGGGTTTTATTAGTTGCATCAAAATTCTGGGACAGGGTATCAAAATTAAAAAAAATTGTAGGAAAGAAATTGTGACAATAGCTAACTCTGTTTAAGAGTTTTTAGAATGAGCATGTTTCAGTAACATTTGATAGTGGTACACCAGCAGGGGCTTGCCAGCTGGTGTACTAAATGCGAGTGCACCTTTCTAAAGCCTAAATGTGTAAAAAACAGGTTGCGACTGCGATGAAGAGAGGTTAAACAAATGTCAAGCTTGACTATTTGACACTCAGTCACAGAATCAGTCATGATGAAGTAATCGGCAAGTTTTCTGACACGCCATTGCTAAGGAGACTTCTCACGCGCTGAAAGTCGTCCATTTCGAATCATTAGAATCTTAATACATTAATTATCAGTCCCATTGCGAGTTTTACTGTTCATCACAGATACTGATTGCTGATGATTATGATTAACCAATGTTCGAGTACGTATGCTGGCTTTTCTCTGACTGACTCATTGAAATCAAAAGATAAATATTGTTTGCTGTATCTTTCTGTATTTTAAAACTGCGCATGCGCTTGACGACGTCATAATTTTAATTGAAACCTTTTGTCGAAAACTTTGCAAGCTATGCCCCCTCCTAGTCACTACCCACGACGCCCCTGGGTAAATATCAAGAGATCTGGTATACTTTGGCATAATTGTGCCGTATTTTTGTTATACTTTTTACAGGACAGGGTATGCTTTTGGCAATCTTTTTAAGGGACAGGTTCAGGGTGCAAAAAAGTTTGCAGTACACCCCCATCACTTACTTAGTCAAGTCCCCCCTGAGGTAATTTTCGAACAAAACAAGTTGTGCTACACAACGAGCGCCCATACCCTCCAAACGAAATGGTTGAAGCCTCTCCTTAGCATCATACGTATTGAATGTGACTTTTGAAGTTTATATGGCATTTCAAGCGTTCACTTGGACACCAAATTAAAACAATTTGATCGTGCACACAAATGAAAGTTGAGGACAGCTTCCAATTTGTTGAAACAGGTATAAACATCTCCATTGTCCAGTACTCAGCGATCCATTTAATTTTAACCAATTAAATGTAGGGAGACTTCAAACGTTGCCACAACTTCCATTGTGTAATCTAAATCCTTATTGTTCCTTTGACGACTCAAATCTTTGAACAGCAGGTTCGTTTCGTGTAATTTCCTTCCAACCAAAGACACGCTGGCAACAAGAATGGCCGCAAAAGCACAGCGAATCGAGCTCACAGAGGAGTTCATTGGGTTGTGGAGGCAAGAAAAAAGCTTATGGGACGCAGCTTCCCCGCTCTACCGTAACAAAGATGCGAAAGAAAGGAGCCTGTTCAAACTGGGACAACATTTCTCAATGTCAGGTAAGTATCCAACTCTATTCAAGAACCTGAAATGTGAGCCCAAGAACGGAACTGTCGCGAGAGGAGGAGGAAGGGGGGGGGGGGTGTATTGGATTAAATCCTCGGGAAACAAGCCCCGTGAAAAACCGTATGGTGACAAACTGTCTCCTTTCGAAAAATTAAAGGACCGGGGCACTTTTTAAATTCCCCACGATTCTAGTCAATCTTGAGATGAGATCCCTCTTTGGCATGACACAAGCGCAAAAGGGGGTGGGGGGGGGGGTCTGGGGGCCAAGACAAACTTTGCTTCCCCTGCGGTATGTCGTATTTACCTGTTATCCTCAAATGTTGAGTACTCCAGTTTCTTAATGTTTTGGAAATTTCAATACTCATTATTTCTTAAGAGTTTCTTAATTATGATGTTACGAATGATGTTATAAAATGTTCGTGTACTAAATCACGTCAAGAGATTCGCTTCCGTTCCAGTAGTAGAGCACCTTTAGTTACAAGAGTTTTGATTGGTTATCGTCCACAAATGGGGATCCCACCGGTATCGACCGTACCGAGTTTTTTAATGGCTTTTAAACAAAGGATTGTAGCTGGGGATACCGAGCATGTTGTATTTAGATGTGGGAAGTATATATTTATCCCTTGTGTCTTAAGTTCAAGGCCAACAGGGCAATCTTGTTCTTGGATTTTACAAAAATTTCATTGTTCTCAGTTTTATCACGATTTAATAGTACTCGTTTCTTATAGCCAGTTTCTTATAAAAAAATGAGTGTTACTGAACAATATAACTAAGCCACAACAAGATTACCAATTCTCTCTATCAAGCTGGTTGGTAAATTGGAACTGTAGAACCGAAAAACTGATAAACGATGGATGCTCAAAATCGAAATTATCAACTGTCTTCAAACTTTGGTTGATTGTGCTTGGTAATCTTCTTTGTTTTCAAAGACTTCAAAAGATTTATCAAAGATTACACAGACACCGCGGAGCGTTGAGAAAAGTGGGGGGTCTAAAAAGTGCGGGGTTGAAACCGAATAAAAAGAGGCCTTACTGGTGATTCACTTCTTAATATTTTGCATGTTCTGCAAAAAATAGCTAAAGCGCCCCCAAGCCTCCTGCTCCGCAGTGCCTGTTACATGGTAACAAAAGGAATTACATGATAACAAAAGGATTTATATACATGATAAAAAATTAAGCAAGTCAATGAATGACTTGATTCGAGCAGTACAATCCATCAATTCTCCTTTAAGGTCCAGCAAAACTGTTAATGAAGTTCAGACAAAAATCCAAAGTCTCGTTCAAACGTATCGATTTACGGAAAATTTTGTTTCTATCTGGCACTGAACTTCGCTCAGCATCGCTTTCGAAGGTACTTTACGACATTCAATTGTAAGCGATGTACCAACTCCCACGTACATCCCACTCCAACCTCTTCCGTTGGTTTTAGCACCCAAATGAAACTTCAGACGTGGCTTTTGCAAGTCCTCAACTTACATGGTTGTCCATTTCTATGCTTGATGACCACTATTCTTCCAAAATGTTGTCATATATTTTCTTCTGCGTTCTCTTGTTTGTAAACTTCCTTTAGTTGTTATTGTATCTTTTTTCCTGGTATCTCTGTTTTTTCTTAATATTGTTAACTCCTGCCTACAGCTTCAACATCTGAAATCTTGCCTGATACTAGAAACGTATTACGATGACGACAGATATCCAAGCAATGAACGAAAAGAAGAGAATAAGACTTGGTAATCCATGATATGAATGTAGCGCAATATCTTTTTGCCCATTTCATTTTATCATTCAAGAAGGGTTGCCCTTCAGAATGGCTGATGTTCAAGGCAGTGGTGTTGTAGAGGGGGCTCAGGGGGCTCAGCCCTCCTGTTGAAATTCAGAGAGATTTTGAGAAGCTCAACCCCCAAAAACAAGCCAGTAAAAGTTTGGTTTGGCGAATTCATTGCTTGACAATGGGAACTAACCCTTTCTTTTGCTACTGATTTTCGATGCATGAGCAACTTCCTACCAGTTGCTTAATAGTTTGAATGACATCATAACACAACAGAGCATCGTTAACATAAATAGGAGTTTATAACGTGTGACCATTGGTGTGGTCTTCGGTGTTGCTTCTAGATGTTGCCTGCAGCACGTCCCCCCCCCTTCCTAACTTTTCAGGACGGCATCCCTACTTCAAGGGGCTGAAAAAACAACTTGGTTAAAGGACCAAAGCGAGACGAGCAAACTCGAGGGGGGGGGGGCCAAAACTACCTTTGGTTGCACTGAAATACTTTATCTTTGCATCTACATTGTCAATTTTCTTTAAAACAAAATTCGAACATATGCACAGTTCATTCTTTGTTTAATTTCACAATTGTTCTCAATCATACTTTCCACTCAAATTTTTCCGAAAATGCAATCCTTACGTTATCAATTATTACGAAAAACTATGCAAATATTTTGAGTAAAATTAGAGCAAAATACGTGCAAAATTTGATCCTTCTGTTTTCACAGCTTTTTCTAATCATTTTTCAACCTCCACTTACCTGAGCAATAACACGAGCTTCAAAATCGTTTTAGCAAAACTTTTCTTTTAGAACAAGACGTGAAGAGAAAGATAAACATTCTGCGTACTTATTTTACAAAAGAGCTGCAAAAAAGCTTAACAAAAGGTACAGCTGAAGGCGAAGGGCTTCAAAATTCAAAATGGCCTCACTTCCAATCAATGATGTTTCTACGCAACACTATTACTCAGCGGAAAACAACATCTCCGTCTGTGCGTATTAAATTAACTATGGATATCACACATTTACGTGTATTACCTCAGTTTCAGTTATTTGCTTCAAGCTTTACAAATGTCCAATAATTTCGCTGTTTTTACCTTCGAATGCCACCACATATTATTTTTTTTAAATGTAAGTGCTAATCTATGAGATATTAGATGTGCCCAGCGCCAACCCCTTCCCCTGATAATTTGAAAAATTGTTTTGATTTCAACATTCCTGCTTTAAAAAAAAATGGGGAACAACTAGAAGGTTACCCAACGTCAAGGGCGTTTGTTTTTCAAAAGAAAAGGGATCTTGTTTTTCGAAATCACATAAAACTTTTACCTGGGCTTCCAAAAACAAACATCTTATTATTGGACTAAATTTGCCAAAGATTATCACCCTTTCTAAAAGAGCCACTGAAAAAGAGGGGTACTGGCTCTTAAAGATCCCTCCTTCACTTATTCTCCCTACTTTCAAGAGTACTGTGTATTCCCACGGATTTTTATTCGAGTTCTCGTATTATTGAAAATAGCCCGCATTAAACTTCTGCAAATCGAGCATAGGATGAGCCGGGTTTATAACATGTTTATTTTAAGAACAAGACATTTAAATTTGACGATTTATTTTTTATGCGATGCGAAAACCTTTTTTTAGATATGCTACCGGCTTCATAAAAACTGCAATAGACATGTGTAAGAAGGAAGAAAGACAGAATTTGCTGCCCGCTGGATTCTGTGAATCTTGCATGAGTAATAATATGAAAATTGTCAGGGACAAAGCTAAACGACGAAGGAACCAATATTATGTAATATGATTCCAAAACAATTTAGATTAAATAAATATTAATATTTCGCCCTGCATACCTGTAAACATACCCTTTATCAGAGACATATGCCCTTATTTGCTGTTGAACATACTAGTGGTGCTTTAATATATCTGCTTTAGGCATTTATGACCCTTTAAACTATCTTTAAAAGAAATTCACAGCCTAATTCTCAACCCTCAGATGGTAGTCAACGATAACAACGAGGAAGATGAAGCAGAATGTCCAATAATCGAGAGCTTTGAGGCTGAAGAATTTCAATACGATCTTCCCGACAATAGCATGAGAATTGAAGAAGAACCAAACAGAAGATCGACTCTACATTATTTTGCAAATGACAAAAAAAGGAAAAAGGATAATGGAAGCAAGAGCAGTGTTGCTATTAATGAAGCGATGTCAATTCTTGCTGCTAGGAGCAGCAAGGTAGCAAATGCAGATGAGATTTTTGGTCAGCATGTTGCTGCTAGTCTTCGTAATATTAAAGACAATAGATGTAAAGAGTTTGTAAAAGTGAAGATTCAACAAATCATCTTTGAGGCACAATTCGGGATGCAGCTGATGCCTTTCCAACAGATTAATATTGCACCAAGTGGCGTGGTACATCATGACGTATCACGCCATCCATACCAAAGGGAGATTCAGACTCAATTTCCAGTACCTGGCACTGCAAGCTCACCAGTAGGCACTAACGATACCAGCACTGATCCCAAAGAATCGATTTCTTGTATACCATGAAAAACATCTGCAGATTTAATCCATCTTATATATCAAAGTGACCATAGAAAACTTAACTTTCAGTGGCATGAAAAATAGAAACTTCATGTTTGATTTATCAATAGGAAATTTCGCAGCCACTAATAGGAAATTTCACATTATCCAGCATCGCAGTAAAATACTGAATTGAATTGCTTAGTGTTTTTGAAAAGTTGTTTATCAAGCACAATGACAAATCTAGGATATGGCAGAAATTCCATGTGCTTAGGCTTTGTATCGTGGTGGGCAATACCAATGCTACTGCAACTTACTAAGCTACTTAGCCCTTAACAAGGGCATTACCAGCTGCTTACTGCTCTAAGGGTACTAGTTTGTATAGATACACTTCAGCAAAAGCTTATTGATACTTGCTTACTTCAAGTATTCAGAAAATACGTTTAGGAACTGAAGATAGTGAATTACCTCAGCTATTGCAATCAGAAAGTCATGAGCATGCTTGTACACAGGAGAAAACGACTCTAGAAAAATATGCCCATCTGGTGCCTAGAAACAAAAATAATCTTATGACTGAAAAATAGTTAAAGAGTTGTTTACTTCAAATATTTGTACAAAATCAAGAGGAAGTAATAACACTTGTCGGAATAATATGTTTGTACAACCAAGCATCAATAAATGTTTGTAAAACCTAAAATGATTCAGCAGCTGAGTGCTAAGGTATAACACAACTTACCACCCAGAGTGGCCTAAGATCATGGTCTTGCTTTAACTCTGCAACATTTCTGTAATCCTTTGCCCCAAATTCGTCCTGATATGGAAAACAAAATATCATATGATATCGATCACAGAGAAATTTCAAACTTCTATCAAAAAATGTTTGCTTTCATCATAATCCCAGTAAAAACCTACAAAGATGGTATCAAAAACAGTAAAATAAAAATAGCAAAAACATTAGAGAGGCCTTAATTGTTACCCTTAAATATGTAAATGCAAGAGCTACATTAACCTAATCTGATCTGAAATGCAAGAATGTGTCAGCTGTGATGCTGCCTTGTTTTTGAATGGGCCATTACTTGAGGCAAACTTTTTCTGTGCTTAATAATATATTCAATATGATGCTGGTCTGGTATTAGGAAAATAAGTCAAACTTCTAAAAAGGTAATAATTGCAACCTAAACATATTCTACATAACTTCTTTTGAAATTGGATCTATCTTCTTGTCAAAATTTTATATATATATATGTAAGGCTGCAAAAGTTGCAAAGTAAAAGGTAAATTCTCTATATTTTCAATTAGAAATATTGAATATTCCTTATGATGATCTAAAAACAAAAATGATGCAGATCACTTACTATTGCTGTCTTTTCAACACTTTCAGCATTTCGACTTGCCGAGGAAGGAACAGCCTTGGCATCTGTTAAATGCAAACAACTATTTTAGCTAAAAATCTTAAAATAGAACAACATGTTGAGCTCAGCAAAAAGGGTTCTGTACCAGAACAGTTAAAGGTTACAAAATAGGCCAAATTATGAAACAACTTGTTTGATCGTTGTGGTCATTGATTGAGTATTGTGTCTATTTAGGACAACTTTTCCAAAAAATACAATTTTTAATGTGCCCTAGACATACCTGTTTATTCATGACTACATTTACCATGATTTCTACTTTCTAGCAAAATTTTCAAATTTTTAGGGAATCGTCTGCCTTTGAATGAAATTGTTAATTACTGGTCACAGCATATTTACTCAAATGAGCTCTTACCAACAGAGGACAGAAGACTGTCATCATCTTCTTCTGGTTCATAATCATCATCATCCTGCAAGACACATTCAACATAAGATGCAGGAACATTCCTTCATTAATCTACTTTTAATTCAATACCCCTTTCCTAGGACAATTTTCTTCACATTGACAACTCTTGTTGTGTGTAATGGACGCAATAAAACTGGTTTAGGTATCAACTCAAGCAACTGAGGAGAATTACAGTCAACTATGGTCTTGTCACTGTGTAAGTTACAGCTGCCCTCACACTCCACTTATAGTCCAATAAATATAATTCAGAATTATCAAAACAAGAAACAAATAGCAACAGATTGTTTTTTCTTGGAAATCACACTTTTAAGAATAGCAAATCAAAAATCTTTGGAAAAATCTTTTGTTGGGATTCAAACAAAGTTGCATCTATAAAAACAGTGTCCAACCATCATGTTTGGGTTTAAAGATAGATTTAACTGAAAATTCCACTTGTATGTTTGATGAAAAGTGTGTATATATAAACCATTGCGAATGATACTTATCAAATCAAAATAAATTCTAAAAATTCGTTGCAAGATGGAATTTACAAAATAGTTGTTTTCAAGAAAATTAATCTTAACACTTACCCTATGTCAAATTTGTAAAGGAGTTTAAAATATGTTTGCTGTGCTTATCACACATTTATTAAGATAAAAACATCTCGCAATGATCAAATCCAATGAAGAAATATTTTCCTAAGAATTTGATACAGAATAATAACATGAAAAAGAAATTGCAGTTTAAATAAAAAATTGAATAGTTTAAAACAAATTGAATTGTATATACATGGAGCATACCACAGATCCTTTGCCTTTTTTTAAACTGGACGATTTTGAGCTGCCTAGAAAAGGAATTGTTTAAAGCTAAGAATTTTCTAGAAAATGGTATTCAATTAGCCAGTCTTTGTTATTAAATGAATGAGATTGCTTTGCCATGCACTGCCATAGGAATGGAGCCTATAATGCAAGTGATTAAACACACACACCTGTTGATGTTCTAATCTGTCTTTACAATTTGTTGTTTTAACCCTTTCTGCAATATGGAATTTTAGTTTGGGGTCTTACATATGAATCTTACATTAATCCATAATAATGGGTTATAAGGGCAATTTCTTTTGAACACTTGACTTTTCATTCTACTCCTATCTTTTCCGAAATAAAAATCCTAAAGCTGCATGATCTTTTTCAGTTAAAATTGCTATGTTTTGTACATGAATCTGTTCATAAAATCTCTCCCATTCATCAATATGGTACAAGACAGGCTGGCAAGGATGATATCTTTCTAACTCAGAAAAACACCAGTCAATACGGACTCAGATCAGTAAGCTACTATGGAGCAAAGGGTTGGACATTCCTGTAAATATTAAAAGGTCACCATCTTTTAGTGTCTTTTGTTCTAAGCTCAAAACCTACTTCTTTGAAAAAAATTATTGAAAGTGTATTATAGACAGTCATAATTTAAACATACAGTTTCTGAAATTATTATCTTAAATGGAGGTGCTCTCTCCTCGATTAGCTTTGCTACTGAGAGAGTTCCTCCTTAAGAATTCCCCTTCATGCAAATCCTCTAGTGTAGTGTCAAATCTTTGTTATATTCTATGTTTATCATCTCATGTATTTATTATAATTGCTGTGAGTAGTTTAATGTTAGAGTATCTGTTTGTAGTGGAATTTGAAATGAATGAATGAACTGACACATATAGGTCAAATATTGTACTGTTTGCTTTACTGTACTATTTTTCTTCCTATGTCTTCCTATGTGATTGTTAGTAATTGCCATTTGACAGAGTTGCTGATTTTTGTTTAAATCCAAGTCTACACAGAAGTCAGAATGTCAATGTATTTACGGCAATGAAAACAATTACTACTTCATGTTTGCTAACTCCACTCATACCACACAAATGATAGGCTTGCATAAGCAGTCTTTGTAATATGGAAATAGGCAGTGTGCAGGGTTTCGCACATCTTGATTACTTTCTGTGTGTGATTGTGCAATCTGAACAAATTTTTTATATTGCCATATTTTGTCATTCCTATTATCAAGAAAAATAAGGCACTGCTTTAAAAAGCAACCTTGTTTGCTATAAACTGAACAGAACTATGAAAATTGTTGGAGAAACGGTTCTCATTCTTCTTTTAAAATGCTAAAAATAATTTTTTTTCAAATTTCCATGAAGTATTCATAGAATTTTTTGCAATCATTTGAAGATATCTAGATTGAATTTCAATTATTTATAAAACCTATGGTCTGTTGAAATATTGCTTTGGAACAGGCTGCATTTACATTATACCAGATAAATTCTTATCTGGATGAGGCTAAAATATTAGCACCAAGCTTCGCTTTTCATAACAGAGTTCACTTTGCTCGATATCATATTAATCCACAGTTGATTAGAGGACTTCAAGGATCCAGCACATCAGAAAAATTCCCAAAAAAGCATTTGAAAGAAACATTTGCATAAGTTTGGGCAAAGGTCTGGCAGAAATACACTTGGTGGGATAATTTTATCAATAATATTGTAGTGCCAGAATAATGGATTGAAAACTTGCAAATGAGCAGAGAGTTTTATCAATCTTTATCTTGAACTGAAGTCGTTAATGGAGAGAAATCTTGTGCATACGTACTCATGAAAACGAGAAGAGCCTATTCATATTAAAAGTTACATTACACCTTGTAAATGCGACCTATCCGTAAATCTTTTATCCAGATCAAATGTTATCCGGCAACATGTAAATGCAGCCTTAAGTATGATCATAGAGATGGTGGGTGTCATAGCAGATTTTCATATAGTGCCTCTCCATTTGAGAAATTTCTATAGATCAGAGGTTTTTTCCTATTTGAAAGACCATAACAGTCCCTCTGTTGAGTGAAAATCTCTTCATTGTGAGGCAAACTTACACTTTTTCTTTGATTTGGAGAAAATTTCTCGATCCTCATACTTAAGGACGGTTGCCTTGCTGTTTTTAGGGCTTTTTCACAATATTATGGCAATTATAGAATGTGCAACTTCTTTGAGACATTGTTGCTATATCTTGAACGGGAATACTTTGACACCTTGGAAACTAATAGAGCTTTGCCTTCCAGCTGCTTTGAAATTTTTAAAGCATATTTTTTAGCTTTAATGCTTTTGCAAATTTTTGGTTTGCAAATGCAATGTTTCACTCATCTTAGAGACTATTTTGCATGTGCCATCACATCCCTCGCATTGAAAAGACTGGTATGCCTTAAAAATTATGCTTCTAGAATGTGAATAAATCAAAGGAGGAAATTTTCATCAAGAACTATTCTTTTAAATGGCCAGAATTAATCAATTCCTGAATTCACATTGGAATTTTTTCACTCAAAAATGACAGGCAGCTTTCTTTGCTATTAGTCTGGCTTAATCCCTTAAAAAAAGCCATATGTTTATTTAAACAGTTAGGTCAGCCACAAAACAATGGACAAGAATGGCCATGTTATTACTTTCTCAAATCTAATAGCAAGGTCTCATTCTGAGAACCTATATATGTTAGGGTTGAGGAGCACTAGAGAGGATCAAACAAGTTGTTTTTTCAAGAATTCCCATGATACCACACAGTTCTGCCTATTGATTATCTATATTTATATCCATACTACAGGGCTGAAAATGTCCAGCAGTGCTGGCAGTAGCTCTGCAAAGAAATTTTAAGCACAAATTTATTGCAGGAAACTGTTGCTGTTTGCCAGGAAATTTTTAGCATTAAATCTTCATTGCTTGATTTTAAAATGAACATTAAATTTATGTTACTCTCTTTCTATGGAACATTGTTTTCTTGTGATATACATACATACTGCATAATTTTTATTCTGCACTACTAACAGAAACAAAGATTAGCTTTCAAAATACAGTCACCTGGTATTATCAGCATTTGTTATACCAAATTTCCAGCAATTCGGACATGATTTTCAGCTTTTAATTTAACTCAAGCAAGCTAAAACAAAGTTCTCTTTCTACATTCTAGATAAGTTTAAACACTTGCATACATTTTTCATTGCTTGCTTTATAGAATGTAAGCGTTTCGGGATTACATCTAGCACCACCCCTGATTTTAACCATTGAAAAATAAAATAGTGTTCTTACATGTTGGATGAACTACTACCTTTAATGAGATAAATGAGTAGCAAACATGAAACACTGAGCAAGATGTAGGATACATAAATACTTTAATAGTATCTAGTTTGCTAGTACTGATATGAAATTAAATCAAAGCTAATATAGATTTTCAGATCTTCAAACTTTAACCTTGAAAACAGCTATGAGAATTGTGCTGGATTGTGTTCTCTTTGACCATCTATTACAGTAACATTCAGAAGCTTTTTAACTTCTTTAGCCCTTAAGCCCACAAGATGATAAATTATTAACAATAAAATATTTTGATGAAAATATTTTCAAAAACAGGTAATTAAAGACTCAAACTGCTTCTACCTTACTTCATTCATAGACTTTATTCTTATTATTATTTCTACTAATGACAGTTTTTGATAATGGGAAGGCTGCATTGTAACTTGTAATTTTTTTTAATAGGTATTATTTATGGGCCCCTATAACCAAAGGCCCATGGGTCCAGGGGGTCCCCCTCTGACCTCCCTCTCCTTTATATTTGTGTAGTGCTTGTACATATGTCATTCAACATAAACATAATTTTTAAAATTTTTTGACGTACAATTGCCAATGCCATATGTATTGCGGGTGCACAACAATGTTTCCAGTCTGGTACCAGTTTATGCTTTAAGTTTTCTGGATTTTTAACCTTACCTTGAGAAAATTTCTTTTAATTTTAATTTTTGTTGGAAATAACACTTTCTGCTGCTTTTTTTCTTTTCCTCTTAACCATTTGATCAGGATTTAACTATTACTTAGGATTTAATTATTGCTTTGTAACCTTACCTTTAGACAGGTTTCTTAATTATAAAGTAGTTATTGTTGGAAATAATACCTTCTGCTGCATTTTTCCTTTTTCTCTTAACCATTTTCTCAGGATTAACTATGTTTTCAGCTCTAGCAAACCAAGTTAACCTTTCCCAACTTTCCGTCAGCCACAGCTCCAACTTTTTACAGATTTTTTAAGGTGGTAGCTATCGTATAAAGGAAAATCATCCTATAGTGTTTACAAGTTCTCAAAAGCATGACCTCGTTTTGAAGAGGTTGCTGCTCCATCATTGTGCTCCATCTACCATTTTGAGTTTCGGGGCACATGGCATTGGCCATACTTGAATAAAAACTCAAAATGGTTAATACATTGCCAATATTATTAGTTTTGCTGGTGCAAATTAGCTATATAGCTTGTCAAGAACAGTGCATAAATGGAAAGTTCCACAAGAATTCACCTGGCCCCGAATCTGGTCAATACATGGAATGCCATCCATGGAAAAACAAGACATGTTGTACAGCTGCTTTCACAAAGGAGTTTGCAGCGAATCAAACCAAACAGTTGTATGGACATGACTGGCACCGATGCAAGAATTTGTCAGCTGCGTGTGAGCGCTTTTGGATAAATCAGGTATTTGATCATTGAGATTCCTATTTCTTAGTGTTGTGAGTATACGAAATGAAATGAGACTGTGAAGAACAAGAAGGAAGTAAAATATTTTATCCAGGGCATCTTTTGACAGTGAAACCAATGTTAATACCTAATGCCTTGTCTGAAAGAATTAGATTATATCCATATCTTGTTTTTTGCTGTAGATTTGGGTACTTACTATATTACTATTAGATGCAAATTGATAGTGTATTAATATGTTATCTCGAGTATGGAACTCATGTTTTAACACTCTAGGACAATGAATTCTGGGTATTCATTGAATTTTCATGCGATCTTGACCCTTAAGTCTATATTTATTGCATATTCTTGATGTTACACTTGGGAAAACTTGACTTCTACCTCAACCTTTTAACAGGCCTGTCATAATTTTTTGAGCTTTAAGAACAATGTCACTGTCACATGGCTCTTCACATTTATCTGACTCTTCAAAGTTGATAGTTTCAACTTGTCCACCTCTCTCAAGGCAAACCATACATTTATTTGATGTTTCCTATTTTAAATTCCCGATTTGACAATTATATTCTTAACATAACATAATTATATTCTTAACATGATTTTCAATGGTGTTATGGTTCATGCCTAACCAACTGTCATTAAGCAGAATAGTTGAGACATTAAATGTCCTTTCAACAGCAGAATTTGTGCCAGCAATAATCATCACAAACTCAACAGCAAGTTGCAAATTTGGGGAATTGAAGCCTCTTAAATATTCTCACTTGTTGCTGCCACAGAATTTTTGACTCAGTGAAAACCTTGTCAATTGTCGATTGCAAGAAGTTTAAATCTATTCTACTAAGAAAACAGTGGAACAGCCTAACAGTAAATCTATGAGGGAAAATCTTATAAGGACTTTCTACACCATAGTCTCTATTGCCACCCAAGTACGCTGAGTAATAACTTCTTCCAGTTCTAGCCAATTCTTCCTTGCAAACTCTTAGCTATTGTAGTAACCTCCTGTGACTTTGCAGAATTCTTTCGTGGCATTATAACAATCCCCGAAATTCATACATATCTGCTTCAAATGCAAGAGATGAAGGCCCCATCACCTCTGTCATTTTAAGGGAACTGTCCAAAACCTTGATGCCCATTTCTCAAAAGCATACCACAATACTGCAACCTTTTCAGCAAGCCTTTTGCTTTGCATTTAATTCTATTGGTAGTGAAACATCTACCAAGTTATTTTCAAAAGTAGTTAGTTATCATTGCATGGACAACATAGATGTCAATGAATGCTTTAAAAAGGGGTGCTTAAATGGCGCTTAGAGTTTTACTTTTCACTACATTTGTTCTATTTCTAAAGGCTTTTGCTATTGCCCAGACACCTCCTTTGCACAAAGGGTTTAAAAGAACAGAATTTTTCAGTTTCATGTTGAGCTTCCACAACACAAAAATAACAATTATTTTACCAAACAATCTTTTTGTGGTACAGAATATAAAAATTGCTTTGAGAAAAGCAAACATTTTGGACCATACTGAAGCTTTTTGTCTGCCACTCTTCAGAGTATAAAACGTCAAAACATAGCTCACAAATTCTACATACCGTATTTATTCCTGCTTCTTTCTTATTTCTGCCCCTCTAGTTATCCAGCTTGTATTTCATAGATTGTAAGTATAACTCCGCCTCCCCAGTAATCCCGCATGCAGGATTGAAACTTTAATTGTCGATCCTTATAATGGGGCATTTCTCCAGTGGTGTAGCGTGAGGTGTTGAAGTGGGTATACGGTATTGGGTGCTATCAACAGACAAGGCCCTTGTTGGAGACTAGGGGATAAACCCCCAAAAGCTACAGCTTTATATTTATACAGGAATTTATACCATTTCAAAAAAGAACACCTAAAACACAATCCTAAGTGAAATTGATACTGATGAAAATATGATTAATTTTTTACAGTCATTGTGTTATGTATGTTATGAAATATATGATATATATATATATATATATAATATATATATATATATATATATATTATCATAGATTGAAGAAAGTGAAAACTACATGTTATCTCTACAAGCCTGTTTCGTGAGTAACTCACTCTTCAGGAGATATATATATATATATATTATATATATATATATATATTCGTTTAATACCTAAAGACAAGGCTGGGGGCAAAAGAGGTGTCAGGGGTTGGGCCTTGTTTTGTTTCGGTCAAACTTGCTTTTAGAAAGTGATCCCCGCAAAAAATTATTGGTGTTATCGACTGTGCCTATTGTGCGCAATTAATTTAGAAAATGTAATGACTGTACCGATAATCTACTTTTACTGCAGGCAAGAATGTATTTTTTATTTAAGAGCCAATAACTGCATTACAGAGAAAGTCCTCTGCTATATTGTATCCTGTCTCTCCTGTCATGTTTATATTAAAGTACAATCTCTGAACTTAGAAACAATCCCAGATGCTTTTTAACGATTTAATATTGCAGAATATATGACGTACCAGCATCCCTATTTGAGTGCCTTTCCCCCCAGTTTTGGTGCTAAGGCTAGAATGATAAAAAAAAGAACTTACTATTTCATATTTTGCCTCTCTATACTCTACAAAATGTACTTGTTCTAATCCAAGTTTCAATGAATTGCCTTGAGGTACATCCACATACATCTGGGGCATGCCTTTGCCGCTCTTTATTTTTCAGTACCTGGCCATGTGATTTGTCTTACTAAACAACTGCAAATGAAGCAAGCTGAGATCAGTTGCTTTCCTTTCAAAGCTTGATCCTCAACTCTCACAGCCAAAAATGGCAGCAATCTCCCATTAGTATGATAGATTATTGGTTGATACAACGACCCACTCTATTATTTAGTGAAAGTTAATATCTTAAGAATGAAAAAACAACTGTTTTAAATCAGGGAATCCTGTCAGAATTCCGCATACCTGGAAACGAGATGTGCTGCAAACAAAGATTGCTAGCCAGAATACACTGATTTTAAAAGAAAGTGATCTTTAGAAACAGGGAAACAAAGTACAAAGTACTAGAATTACTTTCAGGGTAAGAACTAGAGTGGATCTATTGAACTCCAATGGATTGATCAAGAGTGTGACAAAGTGCATTTTAATTAATCATAAAAGCAGCTGTTTCTTTTCATAAAGGATAGTTTGAAAATATTTTTGACCAAATTTTACAGTGCATGTGGCGCATTACTAGCATGCCCTGACGCTATGCCATTGCATTTCTCCATACTGGGGTTGTTTTTACACAGTGGCACTCTTTACTTATTGAAACATTACAATATGATAGTTAAGGCTATAACTTGTTTGGCACATGTAATACAATTATGGTCAATTAGAGGAGTGAAATAATGGTTAATGATATTCACATCAGCTGTGTGCTTAGAAAAAATCCTATCTAACATTTGCAATGGCAGAAATACTTCCATTACTTAATCCAATTTTCCTCTTTTCTTTTTAAATTAAGGTAGCAAAAGTTATAATTAGCCAGCTGAAATTTTGCTGCAGGAAACCTGCTTTCACTTTTTTAGATCTTTAGTTATGATAACTAAAAGAATGCAATGTGTGTCATCACACTGCAGTATTATCACAGTTGATAAAAAGACTCTATTGGTTAAACAAAAGCAATCTCAATTTTTTGCAGGAGTGTTTTTATCAGTGTTCACCATATGTGTACAAATGGAAAGCCACTGAAGGAAAGCCACCAATGGAAGTTGTTAAAGGTTTGTGACAATTTTTTGTGCGTTTAATGAGTCTTGATTTATCAAATGTGCTGTTGTATTTTATGGATTATATTTTACCTTATTTTGCCATGTATAAGAACACCTTTTTGGTACTAAAATTGGCTTTATATGAGTGTGCATCTTTACATGGTAATCAGGACTTTCTGAAAACCTCCCGTGCTCCTAAATCAAATCGCTCTACTTTTATAAGAAATATTCTTCTCACTGGAAATCTTCTCTTTATCTTTTGAATGTAAAAATTGGTTGAGAAAGAACAAAGAAGATCTCCAAACCACACTCAACATATCAATTTGATTTGAGAAATTAGTTGCATTTATTTGAACTGGTCCAGGTGGCACACCCAACATAGACAGACTTTTTTCCAAAAGACCTTTGGTTACACAACACATTTGCCCTATCTTTCTGGTCTCAATCTAAAAACAACTTAGCATATGAAAATAGAGAAACCAAATGTTCAAAGGTGGTTAAAAACAAAGGGTGGTTAAAAGCAAGTACCTCAATTCTATGTGTGCTAATAGCAGGATAACTGCCATGTTTCCAGAATTATGCATGAACCTGACACAAATCAACCAGTTTATTAAAATGCCTGTGCATTGCCTGATATTGTATACATTATCATTTAAATAGTAGCTAGAAAGAATAATTATCTTTGAGGTGAAGAAACTTCAAACAAAGCATAAGCAAACTGTAACCTTAAACAAAAAGGCCATTGACTAGATCAGAGTAAACCTTCAGTGAATATTTTCTCATTTGAGAGCTTGTTTTTAACAGCACTTCTTTAATTTTTGCAACACTAGGTGTCCCAATATGTGCATCAGCTTGTGACAGGTGGTATCAAGCTTGTAAATTTGATCAAATTTGTGTGGAAAATGTTTTGGCTGATTACAACTTTACAGAGCATGGAGAGAATCTATGTCCCAAAGACAAACCTTGCAAAACATATGAGAAAATGTATGGAAGTGGAAAGGCCTTGTGTGAAAAAATGTGGGGATCATCATATGTGTACACCAAGGAGAATTCTGAAAGCTCAAACTGTATGGTAATGTGGTTTGCTGGACAAAACCCAAATAGGAAAGTAGCTTTTGTGGCAAAACATCCTTCATATGCAGTCAGGATTGATACTGCCACATGGATTCTATTGCTTGCCCAGGTCATTGCAGTTTTGCCACTGCTGTCATGAAGTTTGGTTTGGTAGTTCAATCATGGCGAGTTTATTTCCAACAGACTTTGATAAAGTGATTTGTGATTATGATGGTAAGGAGAATTATTCAAGGTATAAGATATCGAATCAAGTGAATCAATTGAATCAAGTGAATCAACTACAGTCAATTATCAGGATTTTATCAACAACTGTATGACAGCTGTCTTCAAGAGCTTTTCTCTACCAAAAGGTTGTTCAAGGCTGACAAATAGGAAGATCAAGACACGAAGCACTTTTTTATAAGTCAAAATGTCAAGGCTGGCAAGAGAACAATAGGAATTAGGAGCAATAGCTTGTGGAGTCGTTTGCCTAGTTTTGTGTCTGGGGCGTGCAGGCCTTCCTGGGAATAAATTGGCACAGGTGTGGCATTTCAAAACCCCTAGACTGTTTTAGGATTTTGATTGAGTGCTATTTGTGATTTGTCTTATTTCTATATTATATATGGAACCTGCAAAAACCCTCATCTCTTAAGTTATTTTTTCAGTTTTCACTTCAATTTGATGCTTAAGATATTTTAGATGCAGTCTCCGGCAATCCCTCTTGTCACCGATGGTAGCTTTCTGAAACTCTTGAAAATTATAATATTTTGAACCCCACTTTCAATCGTATCTCGTCAAAAGGGATATGAAAATAATTTTGAAAACTGCACAGTTTGAAAACGGCACGAAACGTTTCAGAGCAAACTCTTGAAACAGATTCAGCTCCTTAGAATTATGGATGCCTGATGATCTGGTTACAGTTTTCACACAACTTGCACCAAATCTTTGTTACATATTGCTTATTGTCGAGGGCTTAAATATTGTAGCCTAAAATGACTTTGTTGCCCCATTTCAGGAATATGGCGAGCTCCTTTGTGATCCCTTTACTTTTCTTGTTGAAGACGCAAAATTTTCGAGTGTAAATCAGAATAAATACGGCACAAATCTGGAAGCCTTTTGTATAAGAATTTAACCTAATTTACTATTAGAAAATTAGGAACATGTACATTTTAGAAACAGGTCTATGATAAAAATGCGACTTAGTTTTCACGAGCCCTGGGCTTGAAGATGATTGCAAATTTTTGTATTTTAATGGTTTTTGCAGCCTAAGATGTGGGAATGAAATTTACTGGACTGCTACTAACTCCAATGCTACGGTCATTTGGTCTGTGTTTGATTGCATACAAGTGTTGCACAACAGCTCGTCAAAGTGATTACGGTGACTCAGGACGGTGGACAAGACCGGTGAAACAAATCAAATAAAAAACACAAAGTGTCAACTCATTAGTTTCCAGCGCTTTGGTTAAAATACAAACGAAAAATTATAAAAATAGGCGTGCGATTTAACGCACTTCTCGGTGTGGAGAGGTGTATACCAGTGCGTGCGAGTGCGATCGCACGCCTTTCACGGGAAGGCCTGGGCGTGGCATTTTGCTATTCCATAAATAAATTATGTCACCTTTTAGTAATATAAGGCTACCTATTTGTAGGTGGAACTGTTTAACTTCTTTACAGGGCAAGGGGGCAACCCTATATATATTCCTGCACTATCCACCAATGCACTTCCCTAGCACACACTTCTATGCAAGCTCTTATTCCTTTGCAAATTTTGACAGTTAAGCATTTGCTTTTTTAAACAGTCCTGACTTTTTATCGAAGTTTGTGTGGTTGTTTTTTGTGATTGTCAATCTGCAGTCGCTTTTAGCTGTTTTCTTTTGCTCGATGTTGTATACCTTATGTAGAAAATTTCTCTAAGAATTTGACATCTCGATTTCGCTACGAGTATTTATTATTTTGTGGAACTCATGCTCGTTTTACCTTGTTCTACATATCCTGGCTACTAGGTGTCCATAACTGCTGCAAGAGCTTATGATGTCTGAATTTTATTTCAAGGTAGACTGATTGGTCGCATATGGTATCTGATTGTGCCTTGTAAAGGCTTCAGAATAGCTAATACTATTGAAAACAGGGCATTAGGTAGACTGGCCGTTGGTTATACAAAGTCGATATTCAGACAAGTTTTCTCTCAAATTACGCCAACAGCAAAGGTTTTTGAAATTAAATATCAGACAATAGATTCCACGATTATTTTCCATCACTACAAATACCCATACGTTAGCATGTCACTAAAATATTGTAGAAAGCTAATCTGTGGTTTACGCAAATCAGGGATGTAGATGTCTTCCTCTTCGTAACTTATTCATGATTATGTCAAATGCGTTCATACTGAAAAACGCAGACTCAGACAATTGCAACTTGCTTTGCTGTCTGGAGAGAAAAAGGGACTTCTTTTGTCTCATTCAGTTCTAACTTACATCGTATTTATAGAAATTAGCCGTTCTACACCTCAACGGCGTTTCATCGTGATGTGTAAAAGTCGCCCAGTTTTCAAAAACGCTCGCTAGTAGCTCTGCATGTAAAAAGAGCCTATGTTGTAACATCTCAGGATGGAAAAAGTCGTCACAGAATCGATTACGACAAATCAGAAACTCGTTAGTGTTGCTGAGAAGTACATATTAGAGAAGTACCGTGAGAGAAAAAGGAACCGGCTGCCCCCGAAAGTGAATGCTCATAACGCTGTAAAATCCGCTGCAAGAGAGAAAACAAGTGGACTTCGAGGGGTAAGGCTATTAAAAAGCTATACTTTTGTTTGTTTTGTGTGTTTTAAGTGAAAAATGACATGGGAAAATTACAGAATATTCTAGGCCAACGCACAAAGGCTCGGATAAAGACTCATGGTGATAAAAATGTTTAAAGTTAACCATCTCTTCAATAAATCCGTTTTCAGGGACTTCAACTACGTCCCAATTCTCTGTTGTTCGTTGTCTTAGTATTCTATCTCTTAAAGGCTGTAGCCAGGTTTTATGTCAATTGTTTTGCAAATGCATTCGAATACATGGTTATTGTCGTTTCAATGCCTTATTGACCAGGCATACCTCTCTAGGCAACTAGTCAGCTATGAAAATTTTCGTATAACTGTCACCCTGTCGTATAACTTGAGGTTAAAATCAACGAATTCTAATAGATTATAGTTTCAATATCCTCTGCAAGGTTATCGGCTTTTCGCTGGATTTTTACCAATGAATCACTCAGGTGGTTCAGCGTCTTGTTTATAAATCGTAAGCGATCACTGCTACAAACAACAATTAGCAAAGTCCAATACTGAACAATATCGTATACGCTATCCACTCCCTACTGGCAATACAAGGAAAATACTACTTTTTCACGTTACGTAGTAAATATGATGGTGTCAATTTTTTGTAACTATAGAGGAACTCCGGACACACTTTTTAATTTTATTCTCTCTGCCAACTTGTGAGCACAGATTCAAATCTTGATAAACGTTCCATTATAAGTGACTGTGACAACACCTTCAAAACCTTTTTACGCTTGATGGCTAACTCACGCTTAACCTTTACTAAGTATCATATATGGCAAAGTGAAAACTAATCTGCCAGTATTCAATCCCACTTTGTCCTTAAAATAACCTGGCTAATACAAATGCAAACATTGATTCCTCTTCAAATACACTTGATGCTTTCAAAGATTTACGTAAGGAGTTTTTAAAATGTTGTCTTTGCCGGCTTCTGACAGGAACTCTATTTCTTCGTGATTAGTAAAATTCACTGTTTTATAATATGGTATTTGGTACTAAGTGGCTTTGTAGAAGGAATTCGAGTATATTTTCAAGGTAAAATAATTATTCCAGTATATTGCACCTTGATTATATGATCAAACAAGAATGACAAAGGATAAAACAGAAAAATAGCTTTTATTTTCCACATTTCATTCAATACAAATTTTTTTAACACTTACAAGTTCTACAAAGCTAATTTACAAGACAATATTTCTGTATATACAAGGTTATTAAGCATTGATGTATAGTCTGTGAATCAGCCTCCTTGCATAGTGTTGTTTGTATCAAGACTACACTGACTAGCTTAAGCATTTGGAGGCACCTATTTAGGAAAATTATTTATTTTACAACTGGTTAAACAAGTTATTTAAGGAAAATTCACTTGTTGATGGGGTAGTCTTGAATGGGTAGACTAATATCTGACAGGCTCACCCAATTTCGTTTTCTTTGCTGGAATTTTCTCTCCTGGTGCTTGTGGAAGTGATGCATTTTGATCACTCTGTAATTTGCCCTCCCTTTTACGTTTCAGTGACGATTTTGTCTTTACTGCAAAAGGGTGTTGTTTTTTGTCATTTTGTTTTGGTGAGATTTTGGTGGACAAAGAGACTTGTCCACTTCTTTCACCCAAAGCGTTTGCGGGTTTTTCTAAACATGGGCCTGTTACATTTGATTTTGACTGCAAAAGGGGGCTTACTATTTTCTCGTCATCATTTATGTCAGGTGTTGACAATGGCGATTTGTTTCCACTAGCAGAGGTGAAATCTGCATTTGCTTTACTATTGACAATTACTTTGTTGCTCTCTAAAGCATGGTTTTGTTTAGAGCTCTCTGTCGCCAAGGATGCCTCGAATCTTCTGCCTAATGCCGAAGATTTTATGAGAAAATGGCGCTTTTCTTCTATAAACCGCTTTTGGAATTCACTTGGCAATGCTGGCTCGCAATGAATTAAAGAAGTGTTTAATCGTTCTTGCAGTTCATTAATAAAAACTTTGCTTGGTTTTGATTTTCCTTTGTACAAGCCATAGAACTGTTTTATCTTCGCTGTTTGATAGCAAGTACTGCTCCCAGGTTTCTGCAAAAGATTTTACGGGTATAAGATCAGCTTGTAAAAAGACATTTGTGGATATGCTTAACAAATAAATCAAACTACTTCCTCTGAAAAGATTCCTTCTTTCATATTCTACAGCTTTCTTAAACAGTAGTTATTCTGTAATTATTATTTTAATTTAGTCATCACCTCCAAGATGGCAATTAGCAAACGATATTTGCTTCTATTCAACCTTTCCTCATTTATGAAAAAACAAGCAAGATGGAATTAAAAAAAGTTGTCTCTTTAAATTTTTGGGATTTTCACCTCTGAATTTCGGTGCATGTGTTAAGTAACGAATGATGGGAAATACTGTGCTGGGTGTATTTGAAATTAAAATTTTATTATTAAGATAAAATTATTAAAATTTGCCATTTTGATAAGGAGCCAATATGTATTCATTGTCAGAGTAATTTATTGATCTGGTTTTATAAGCAGACACCGCGTAGAAGAAAATTATCACTTACCAGAAGTGTAATTGCAAAATAGTATTGGTCGTATGCCTCAAAAATTTCTTTCACAGCATTGCCAATAAACCAAATATCCATCGTGGCTTGAGAATCCTGCAACTGAAGAGATGAATAGATTTTTATTATGCTTTGATGCTTAACGTTCTGCAACACTGCAGCCTTGCTTCATTGAATAGTCTCTAGTTTAATGAATGTCACAAAAAGGAAGCTAAGACTAGCTTTAAAGCATGACAATGTAGATATGTTTGATAGGTATAATTGTATGCTGTTAGCAGATAATATTTGCATTTCAAATCTATCAATCTTGAGACTAGTTCTTTAGCGAAACTTACCGACGAAAATAGAGTCAGCAGCTTGCACAGGATGGATTGGGTGATATTCTTTACCTTTTAAATTAGACGGTATTCATCGGTTAATCTGAGATTTCATTGGACTTGTGATATCAATGTGAAGTGATACAAAACTACTTTGTCATACCACCAATATTCAACTCACAAACATATTGGAGACTGTTTTTATGTAAATTTGAAGAAGGGATTGAAACATATTGAATAGTTAAACATTGGAATCGCAGCTTGATAAGAAAACGTTAAACAAAAATTGACCTCAAAATATTTTGCCTATCTATTGAATAAATATCAAGCTATATTTTTTGATGAAGTATGTTAGCACGAGATGTAAGTCGTATTTCTATAAGAAATGTTAACATAAGAACGGAGCAAAAGAGATCTTTTATGCCTGTTTATTTCATTTATATTGAGCTGGATTCGTCCACATGTAGGTAAATACGAGAGATAAGTGGTATCTAAAATAGGTACATACGATATGGTACATTGGTGGTGTCTCAATTCTCGACGTAGCCCTGCAGTTCAGTTAAGTTGAAATCAATTTTAGATATTAAAAACTTACTTTGAGATATGAAAAGCTCCTGTGTGTGCTGTTCATCAACTTTGTTATCTTTTCTGGTTTCTTTGCATTTCCGTACTTCTTTATTGCCATATACAGTGATTCTGAAATGTATTGCAAGGAATTAGGCCTCTTTCACTATGGGGCTTTAAGCTAGCTATGAAATTAGCAAGGAAATAAATGGTTCTTTCGATAGAGGCGTTTGGAAGCAATAGTACGAGAAGATACTATTATTCGCTGAAAATTCACTTACGAATTTTCTTGGAAATGCTTTTGTAGTGCGCTAGAAGGCTTGCCCTTGACATTGCCTTTTCGACTTTAGACAACTGGCTCTGAAAAATCGACAAAGAATTAATTTATAATATAGTAGAAAACAAACAACATTAATTCGAAGGATTAAAAACTGGTCTTGCTGTACGACACCTTTTTATAAGATCTTGTTTCTAATTCAAGTGGCTTCAGACCAAATTATGTCTAAATGGAGGTCTCTCTAAAGCTGCGAAAAACAATTTTAAAAAAAAATGATATAAATAAATGTTCTTTCAGTTTAGATTTAGTAGCTATGGAAATTTGTGGTATTTATCTGTCACTTTCCGGTGAAATTTCAGCTTATTATTTTTTTTATAGTTAAACGTTTTATACACAACAGTAGAATCTTCATCTACTTATGTTCCTAAGATGTGAAATCTTTAAAATGTCAAAACAACAACTAGGGCAAGAATTTCAGTCATAGCTGTTATAACAAAAGAGATTTTCCTTAATACTAGCGTTTCTTTACAGCTATCTATGTAAAGCTGATTTTTATAATTCGGGACCCCTGAAAATTCCTCGAAAACGTTGTTCGAAGACATTGTAGCAGTCTCGCTTGCACGCGCTGCCCGACCGATGTTGCCTAGCAACATTACGGTTAAGATTTTCTTTCCATTTAAAAGTTAGGCCAACTTTCAATTGAAAATTATCTATGGTTGTAAAGTATCATATTCAAATTTATATGACATTTCAATTTTGAATTCTTATTAAGGTTAAGAAATTAATTATAATGATATTTTAGTTTGTAGAATCTTCAGAATTGTCAATTTTTTTATCCCTTCGTTTCTCAGTACTAAAATCAGTGAAGCTGTAAGGAAACCTGGAAAATGTTCAGATTGAGCCCCTCAACTTTTGTTCATAGTTTGATATTGATGTTAAAAAATCCGCCTGCTTAGAAAACAGATTATGACTATTATATTCTAAAGTCTAAACATCTTGCCATATTTTTGGTGCAAACTTCTAACCAACGGCTCCTCAAAATGCTGTCTCTAACGGTAATCACAAGAACACGTTGTTCGAAGAATGATTAAACAAACTGTTACATTTTTGTTGCAATTGGGACTGCAACTGTCTCTAAATTCTCCCTTATAAAATGATTTACAGGGGTATTTTTGTCACATTAAGAAGCGATGTATGATACATTCAACTAATGGTGTGTACATGAAAATGATAAATCGATAACTTTTGTTTCTGACTTACCGATTCCTCGAGTTTTTCGCTTTGCAGGTTTTGCGATGGACGTTCGAATTTCGACATTTCGAATCTCCAAGCTTTCTTCAAAGTTGCTCTGTAAATTTCTCTCGAAATTGTCAAGAAAATACAACAGACGATCGACAAATTTTTCTGAAGGATTCAGAACGTGTCTCTCCTCTTAGCTGAAAAATTTTCAACAGAATTTTCAACCGTCAACTTTCATATTCATCTTATTTGACGTCACAAATAGAACTTCATTTGTGTTGCTTGGAAACTATGGAAATCATGCTTTTCATTTTTCAAAATGCCTACGAGTCTATGTTTTTTCACCACAGTCCTAAAGTTTTAACATTTCAATGTCTTTCTGGTGGAAGATATGCAAACAAAGTAAAGCCCTGTCAGCCTTTTTCTATTTTATACCCCTGCCTATCAAAATGTTCTCTTTTTCCAGAAAATTGGAAGTTTGCTTCTCTTTTTCTCTATCTAGCCCCAGCCTTTCGAAATAAATAAAATCACAATAAATATGTATGTACGTTGCTTATGGTACTTTATTCAAAAAACGATAATATCTTTAGCAGAAAAATTGAGTACCAGAATGAAAGTAAAGTAGTTTGATTGCTAAAAACATGATGTTTCTTTTCTAGCCACTTGATAACGAGTACATGCTCGAAACGTCCTGTTTTTAGCAATCAAACATTTATATTTTCATTCTGGTACTCAATTTATTTGCTAACTTATATTATCGATATTTTTTAAACAAAGGCCGGAAAGACAGAGGCAAAAAGTTGTTACACGGACATACAATTATTTTCAATTATTTTTCAATTTTCAGTTTCAAGCAAAATCCATTTAAGTCCCTGTTTAGAACTTCCAGAATTTGATTTGCATCTAAAAAACTTGATAGAGTTTCTGAGTTGTGTTTGAACAAGTATTGATTAACAAGACCAAACATGGGGTAAAAGAGGGTCCAAAGTTTAATGGCAAACCTCTTTAATATTTGATCAAACCTCTTAAAGGACAACTTGGTCATCTCTACAATGGAAACTACGGTATTTATATCTCAATATAACTAACCAGAAATTATTCTATTCTGCACATTGTACGGAATATCTATAATTACAGCATCTACAAACTAGGTAGGCTTTTTAGTGACCACATTTACACCTGTCCAAATAAAATGTTTTTAGCTCCTCCTTTAGTATACTCAGGTAGTTTCGAACCTTATAATTCAATTGATTTTAGTTGTTTGCCCATTCACCTTTTTTTACAATTAATGCTTAGGAAACCTTGGCAGTTGAAGATTCTTGTTCTCGCATTATTTCATTCGCTGGCCGTGGGCAAACCTTTTAAGATTCCAAAACATTGAGCTTGCATTCTCTTCTTGATCTTTGTTGATAATTTTGATGGACTTTGTAGCTTACTACCTTCCCCTTCCCTATTAACAGTATGGCACCACTTTGTTAGAAATGGTCCCTTTTTCTACAATACCAAGCATTTGAATGCATGAATTAGGTCAAATAAGCGTACGTTATCACAAACTTTGGCAGGAATTTTTCTAAAGATCTTTTGACGCCAAAGAAAACATAAAATTCTTATTAAAAGTGATCAATTTTGAAAATCCGCCATTTTGAATTGATGCCACCATTATGAACATGGGCGGTGCCAGAGGGAATGAAAACAAGAAAAGAAAAGAAAAGAAAAGGGAATAGATGAAAAGTAGAGTGCGATAAATCCTTTATTGCTTGATTTTTCAAGGCCTGGTCGAGGTCTATAGTGCCTCATAAAGTATTAAAGAATTCTATTTAAAGACTGGAATTAATCAATCGTAATAAAATTATGCCTTGAAAATGGTAAAATACTTATAATGGTTGCAGAAAGTGACTACAAGAAATGTTCTAAAATGTCTTTTTAGCTAATCTAAAGGGTGCGATTGCGAAAAGATTTCTGCTCGTTGCGCTCACAGGGAAGCTTTTTCTTTCAGATGTACCTATGACCTCCGACAATCTCGCGTCGGCCCTTCCAATGTACCGCATAACGATAGCCCACATAAAATCAAAAGCATGAATCATCGTGAAGCATTTTAGTGCGATTCTCAAAAGTACTTGTATTTGTTTCTATCATCCGAAGGTAGTTTTTAGGACACTGAGAAGCTTATGCTTATCGAACAGTGTCCTGGTCCTTCCTCTCGATGTGACCACACCTCGTGATTCCTGTGCCTGGCGACTCTCCTCGCCCTTGGTGAAAATTTGGTCATGCCAGGAACTCATGCCAGGGACGTTGGACCCTTGGATCTGTAATCAGCGCCTCTAACAACTCAGCCATCCTCGCATCTCTCAAAAGTTGGTTTTTTAGTCTAATAATGCTATCAACTCGAGCATCCCCCCCCCCCTTTGAATTTCTTGGCGCCACCCCTGATGAATAATAAAGGTTATTAGATAGTCTTTACAGATTATTTACAAAAGTAAATAGGTATCTACCTAAAAACATCCAAATCTGCTTTTTTATATGAGCATACACATCTTAATGCTGACATTTTTGTTAAAATCCGCCATTTTGCAATTGAGCCGCCATATTGCAAAAAAGGAAAGAGTCTCCGAGTAAAATTTGAGACCCAGAATGTCTAGCGACCCTAAAACTGTTTTCAGAACTCTGACTGGAAAATGTTTCCGGTATTATTTTGTAAGCAAGGCAGAATTTCATTCTCGTCCAGTGAGATGCTTTGTTTACCAATTTCTTTTAGCCAATCAGAACTCGCCAATTTTGCCTGGTTTGTTGACAGCTTTCTCGAAAGCACCCACAGCAGTGAAGGAAAAGCGCTACTGAAGTTTTAGACCCCGTTTACACGATGTCGGTACCACACCGGCATGAAATGACATCGGCATGATGTCCTTTGTTTTTAGGCCATCTGTTTACATGATACCGGTATCATGCCGGTATGAAAAAGTGTTAATCCGGATTAAAACCATGTCGATATACCGGTGTGATACTAGAATTTGCGTGGCAACCAAATCTGCGTGGGCCCACTCCAAATCTTTTTTTGCGTCTGGATCATCTAATTTGCATAACAGAGGGCGCTCTGCATGCAGCCCATGCGAAAGCTATTTTGGCGCCTGTACCTTGCATAATGTCATAAAATCTTACAACAGAGGTTCTCTTCAAAAAAGCTCTCGCCCTGGATTAAAATTTTTTTCAATCCCCCAAAGGTTTTTAATCGAGAAAGAAAAGAAAGATACAACATTTTAGTCCAAGATTGATAGCACATACATTCGGCCACAAATTAGTAAAATAAAACTAACGAGATAAAATAATTTTGCGTTGTAAATACTATGATTTGATTTGATTTCTTAGGGAGAGTAATTAAGTATAAGACCTCACGGAGAAAAATGCTGATATACACTTTTTCTAAATTATAATTTTATTTCAAGAAATTTATAAAAGGCATCTCTAAGGTCCTCAAATTTGATTCCGACTTCTAAAATGGCTGCAAGGGGGAGCAGGAGCAGTTTTGTCCCAGGTTCTCAAGGTCTGTTATCATGGACACTGGAAGTGGAACGACTTAAGAGCAAGGGGACAAGCTTGAGTAAAGGGTCTTTGA